CTTAAATGTCAGATTTTCGATCAGAGATTCTTTGAAAGGTAGTCAAATATTTTTCACAATCTCTTTCAGTTAATTTCTTGTATGGAGAAACTAAGAGTTGTTTTTCTTCTGGGAAGGTATTATGGAACATTGTAGTAATGGAAGAAGTAAATGTATCAGTAGTTCTATCCATACCAATATATTTGTGTATGATTTGATCAATAAGGAATTCTTTATTGGGTGTGGAACAAGTGGATTTGCTTTTTTTAATGGGATCTACTGTTATGGCACTGCCACTTACTTATCTAAGCATTCAGTTAATTATATTAATGGCGAATCGACTTAAAACGTAAATTCAATTTAGTGATGATCAATCTAATTTGAACTCACTTGAACCCATCGAAACCAAAAGATTTGAAGATCATTATGAATGTCTACAAACCATAGGTAAGATATTAAAGTCATATTTTGTGTAGGATAGGGTGCTCATGCAATAGTAAAGACAGCAAGGAAGAAAGGAACAGAGGAAATATATGCAGTGAAGATAGTACGTTCAGGAGATTAAGAAATATAAAATAATGTTAAGAGGACCTTCAATAATACTAGATGTCTAAGACATCCTAATATTGCATAGGATATCGAGTTATATATAAATGAGAAAAGTGAAACCTCCTATTTAGTTATGGAGTATTGTAATTTACCAAGTTTAGAGAGTGTGATCAAGAAGCGTACATTGAAAATAGAAGAGTTGAAAGTGATTATAAAATAATTGTTGTTTGCCATCTAGCATTCTCATTCTAAAGGCATATGTCATAGAGATCTTAAACCTGATAATATACTTGTTAATATAGAGGAGAATAGTAATCCACCTCATGTAAAACTTGTAGATTTTGGAGTTTCTCGTAGATTTATATCTAAAGGATAAGAAATTGATATGCTTACTAAAACAGGTAATATATTTTACTGTGCTCCTGAAATATATCACAAAGCTAGTTATTCTAAAGAAGTTGATATTTGGGCTATAGGAATCATTTGTTATTAATGTACATTTTAAAAATTACCTTTACATTCTAATGAATTATCAGATTTTGTTGATTTATTGGGCAACCCAGAAAAATGGACATTCAAAGATTCTTTGTGTAATATTGAGATGCCATTATCAAATTTAATTTTATCAATGTTAAATCCAAAAAAAGAAAATAGAATAACAGTCGAAGAAGCTATTAGACATCCATTTTTTGAGATTGGAACTATTCGTGATGTTATGGCATTATTAAATAAAGATAAAATTGAATTAGATAATTGTGGAAGATGTAGATCATTATAAAATAGTCTAAAATTGAATGAATAATGGGGAGATGTTATTAAAAAATTATAAAGTAGTTCTAATGAAGATGAAAATATAAATATGAATGATTTAGTTAGAGATTTTGGGAATATACATATAATATAAAGACATACTGATAAATGTTGTTTAATTCATTTAATGAATTCTGTTGGAAGTAGTAATGCTTTTATGAGTAAATTAGGATCTAGATAAGAAATACTTGATAAAAGTTGTGGTCTATAATTTTGTGGATCATCAAGTATATATATATATATTGATTTATGTAGATAAAACAATTCATTAAGATCCATTTGGAGATGTATGTAATATTCAAAGTAGTTTGGAAATGAAAGAAGAACAATAAAATTCTAATAATAGATTATTCTTATAATTAGGAACAAATTTAGATTATAGTTTGGAAGTTACTCCAAGTGAATGGCAATTGACAAATTCAAAATAGAATATTTAGTAATAATAATAAGGTACAAAAAAGAGAGGATCATAAGTTAATAGAATGTTTAATGAATTAGGAATAAAAGAATTGGATGAAATAACAGAAGATTAATTTTGATCAATATTCATTGACTTCTTCATGTTTTAAATTTTCAGACATCTCTGAATTTTATTTTCTTGGACTTGAATTTGGACTTACATAAGATACTTTAGGATTAGTATTTCTAGCAAATGATATACAACCTGAACTGACAACAAAATATTTTTTAATATTTGAATCTATCATCTTTATAAGAGCATTATCTATTCTTGATTTATTTTCTTTTTCATTTATACTTTGAAATGAACTAAAAGCTTAAGTGGCTTTAATAATAGTATTATTTTTAGGTTCTTATTTTGTATAAATTACATCTATATTAGGTTTTGGAATATATTCAAATAAATTCAATTAATCCTCATCTAAAAGTAATTATTTTAATTTTTCTAATTCTTATAATTTATTAAAAACATATATAATATCTGTTTTTTAATTAACTATTTATAAATTTTATCTTAATTATTTAATTCTTTTTTTTAATTATCCTGTAAATCCAAAAAAATATTTCACATACTGAATATGTTGTAATTTCAATCTAATATCTTATGGTTAAAAGTATTTTGCTATAAGTTCATCAACATCTTGATTCTATTCTTCAATAATTGCTTCATCTACTTATTATTCTTGATCAACATTTTATTTTTATTATTATGAATATTTTTTAAGAATACTTTTAATCATTTTTGTTGGTTATTTATTTAATTCTTTATTATTTGGATTAACTTTAATTGAGTCTAAACGAACTGTCTACATTCGCAATAATTTTTGACTATAAGCTAAAGAATTGAGAGGATAAAAAGATTTAGTGTCTTTAGTGGATCCGAAATTAAAAAATTGATTAAGAAATGATATCTAAAATTTCAATCTGGTTATTGGTTTACTAAAAAACTTTCCAATAAACATCAACACTTTGACTAGACCTCCAGTAATTGATAAAATTCTATAAATTCTTTTGTAACCTCGATCCACATGTTTTATTATAGGACTACCTAAGTACTGTTTGTTTGTACTTTATTGTAAAGATTAATCTTAAACTAGTCGAATCACTCTATAAATAGTAGGTATCAACATTTTCTAAGTATAATTGATCACGTGTACTCAAGATCTCCCATAAAAGGCCTGAATCTGTTTAATATTCTAGTATTTTCATTTAAATATGTATTGTTAATTGTTGATTTTTAACAACATTTCTAACAATTTTTTATTATTTACCAACTTTAATAGGATTATCTACATCATATATATCTTCATGAATAGTTGGTATTGATATTCCTATTAATTTAAATTAATGAATATCTATTATAGTTTCATCATTTGTAAGATGATGAGTAGTTACAATCCCTTCATCTTCTAATTCCAATAAAATGGAACGAAATGTACTAGATTCCAATAATTTATAATTGATTCCATTATCTATTGTGTATTCATGTATCTCTGGAGACAAATAGAATAAACAATCTAAGAATTGAGTAATACAAAGAGCAGCAATTAAGGAAGCAACAATTGATGACCATAATCCACCATAGAAAGTTTTATAAGACTTATGTTATCTGTAATTGAGTCCTATTTCTACTCCATAGAAATCACAACTTTTAATCAATTTATATGCCTTTTGTTTTATATTCATAATTAAAATCAACTGTGAAATGTAAGAAATTCGATTGCTGGTTTTGGAAACCAAAATGATGATGCATTCCATCCTTCCAAAAATCCAATATGTCCTCCAGCTTTGGTCAAACACAATATTGTACGTCCATTTTAAATCATTTCATCTTTTCCTAATCCTTTAAGATGACAAACACCATCATCTTCAGCAGAAATACAAAGCATTGGAATTTAAACATTAGGAAATCTATTAATTAATGAAAAATGTCTATAATATGCATCAGATGTTCGATATCCATAAACTCTAGAAGTATAATAAGTATCAAAATCTTGAATCCAAGTAGAATTTAATGCTTTTTTAACATCTATTGTCCAATTACTAGGGTAATTATTTCTATTATTAAATTAATCTTTTATAGCCTTAAGTCCTCTTTATAAGATTTTACATAACATTAAATTCATAAATGTAGATAAAAAGATTTAAGTTATATTCATTATATGAGGAGAACAAACAGTAACTCCAGCATTAATAAGAGCTTTATTTTCAAATCTTCCCAAATACATACCTAATTATACACCTCCATATGAACAACCTATAGCTAATATTTTATTAAATTGATATTTATTTTTCAAATATTCTAATGTGTAATGAAGATCTGCCACTAAATCTATACGAACTCTCTTGCCTTCTATAATATCATCTTCAAAATAGTAGTAATCATTATCAATTCCATAAAATCCATTACTTACATAATTAGGCATAAATTAATTTGGTTACATCTTTAATCCATAATTGTAACATTCAGGTTTAAAAGAAAAATCTGCATTTTTTGCAAGCATTCTATAATTGTAAATACAGATATTATGAAAATTATGTAGATGAGCTTATGATACTATAGTATTTATATATCCATCATCTACACTTCCTGTTAGACCTGGCATTATAAATAAAAGAGGATGTTAAATATCAATACCATTTCCTTTATCAATCCAATCAACAGATAATCCTGCTTCATGTACAATTTCTCTATTTGATGTATGTTTTTCAGCTGGATGTTTAAATGAAGCTATTAAAATAGATATAAGACATACCTAATAAAGTATGTAATAATCCATTAAGATATGGAGTAGGTTTGTAATTAAATAATGATGGACATTATTGTATTACTTTTTTAAGGTCTTCATTATTGTAAAACAATTGAACACTTGGACGATTTATAAATTTCATCCATCTATATGAGATGTAAATTATAGCAATTGTTATGATTATATTGATCATTTTTAGATGCCCAAATATATTAAAATTATTAGCCAAATATTAGAATACTTACATAATATCAAAAACTCAAACTTATAAGGTTCAATAAATAAATATTCATGGCAGATTAATCACTAAAAGGAACTAATTGGGGTAGAGTTATTATAGATGATAAGAATTTGAGTTTATCTCATCTCTCTTAAAATGTCATTAAATTACCTCTTAAGAGAATTACTAATTCTAATATTTAAAAGAATGATATTGTATTGTAATTGAGTACTGAAGAATATGCTGAAAAGTACAAAATATATCTTATTATTCTTTATTAGTGAAGACATGTTATGTGAAGTCAGATTTTATATTCCTCCAAAAGAATAAGTATAATTATAACATTAAAATATTAGAAAACAGAAAAAAAGAAATAAGAATCAAATGAAGATGAATAAGATGAAATCTCATATCTATAATAAGTTTAGAATCAAATTGTCAATAAAGCAAAAATTGGAGGTAGTAGTGATTCGATTCTTACAGTCCATGAAGTTCCATTTATTGTACCAAGAGGAAAATATACTATGGATTTCTTTAAAAAAGAAGTTCGCTTTCATGGCAATACTTATTAATTCACTACTGATTATAAGAGTATTACTCGATTCTTTTTGCTTCCTATGCCAGATGAAGTCAATCTTTCATTAGTTGTTGGTCTTGAAAATCCAATTAAGTAAGGTCAAACTGCTTATAATTATATTGTTATGTAATTTAAGAAAGATTAAGAAACATAAGTTGAGATGAAATACACTAGAGAATAATTAGACAATATTGGATGGAAAGGGATTAGATTAGAATACACTGGTTCTATGTATGATATAGTTTGTGATATACTCTCAGAAATCACAGGAATCAAAGTAGTATCACCCAAGAATTTCAAATGCAAAAATGGATTATTTTGTTTGAGATGTTCAGTTGTACCTCATACAGGATTTTTATTTCCATTAGAGAAATCATTACTTTATATACAGAAACCTGTTATTTACATTAAACATGATGATATTAAAGAGATTTTATTACAAAGAGTATTATATATTAATAATTATTTTAGATTACTTAGACAACATAAAATAAATTCTTTGATATCAAAATTATTACTAAGAATACATCATACTTATTTTCAACAGTTGATAAAGAAGAGTTGGATAATTTAACTTAATATTTCAATTCTAAAAAATTATAAGTAAAAAAAATTTAAGAAGAAAATGAAGGAATAAATAAAGACAAAGATGATAGTGATGATGACAGTTAAAATGGTCATAAAGTAACTTTATCTTAAATGGATTCTGATGAAGATGATGAAGATTTTTAAGCATAAGAAGATTCATATAATAGTGTATAATTTTAACAAAAAGTATAAAAAACAAGAGCTGCCAATAAATGAATCATAATATATATCTATATATTAAAAACAATATAAATATATTAATGAAATCTTTGATTCCTTAAACTAAAAAACCAGGAAAATCACTTCCTAAATCCAAAGATAATCAAACTAATTAATCAGGTAATTCTAAAAAAGAAATCACTAATGAATCTAATGGTTTTGATATATCTAAATAATAAAAATCCTCACCAAATCCTATTGAATAAAAAAGAAAACAAAATTGTCTCTTTGAAATTGTAGAGCTTGCTAATACTTTAAAAGATGATGACAAAGTAAATGGACTTGTCTTTAAATAAATTATTATCTCTATTGAAGCTAAATTGACTGAATTCTAAGAAAGATTAGATAATAGGGATAATCTTTAAGAATTAAATACACACCTTCAAAAATTATAAAATCTTCAATCAAGTCCATATAGTCCTAATGGTAATCAATGTAATCAAAAAAAGGATGATTCACGTAATGATACTAGTGGATTACTTCGCAATTAAAGTTAAATGTCTTTACCTTAAGTTGATAATGCTAGTGTATTAAGTGCCTAAGAAAAAATTAAAAGTCCTTAGGGTAGACGTTCAACATCAAAATAACCTACAAGTATTTTGTAGATTTTTCAAATTAGTTAATCTTGGTGTTACTTCTCAATAAGTTATATAAGATAATAACAAAATTGCAGCTTTAGAAAAAAGATTGAGATCAAATGAAGATAATTATGTGAAGTTATCCAAAGAATTTTAAGAATAATCAAATGCTAACAATTAAAAGTTTGAAAAAACAATCAAGGCTTTAAATGAAAAATATTTAGCTTATAGTACTATGAATTTACAATAACAATTCAATGAAATTACAGAAAGTTAGAAGGCCCTGATTTCACATCTACATCAATAATCTAAAGAAATCAGGTAACTGCATCCAAATATATAGTGAATTTAATAATGGTTTAAACTAATTGAAACAATCATAAGATGCTTAAATTATAGAAGTACTTAATAAAATTGAACATGCTTTACAATAGAATAATGAAAACTTTGTTAGAATTCAATCATTATCATCATCACTTTAAGCTATTGATGCTGATTTTATTGTGATTCTAAAATGCTATAAGGATATATTGAATGAAATCTTTAAAATTGATTTATTAGAATAATAATAAAAGAAAATTGTATGTTTACTATAAGATGAATAATGATTATTGATATTTAATAATTCAATTAGATGACTTTTTAAATATGCCCATAAATTCTGAACTTTTGTGATATTCCAATAATTAATTATGCTTATTGAAACAATTTTCTAAATATACTTAAATATTCTACTTGTACAAGTCTCAACTTCTAATTTAGTATTCTAACATACTTTAAAACATCTTTCATCAATAAATGCACTTACTTCTTAGATTAAGTTTATATATCATTTTGTTATAATTAACCAAGCTTAGCTACTAAGGATTAAGAGTATAAATCTATCTTAAATTAAATTTTAGATTCTAAATTGTTTTCCTCGTCCTTTATCACAATTAATTTTTATGAAATTGGATTCATATATTAAATTACTATAAAATTATTATTTATACTATAAAAATTATAGTAATAATATATTGAACAATTATTTTTTATTATACTATTATTTAAAAGTAAATGATCAATTTATTTTATTATTTTTGACATATAACTTATAAATTATATTAAATTATTTCAAAGATTAACAAATCGTAATATATCTCAACTTTCTTTTATAATTAAAATTATTTAAAAAAAAATAAATAACATTTTTTAAATTGTTGTAATAAAAGTCCATGTTGAATTCAGGATAGATGATTATATAAATTAATATTCTAATATTATTCAATAGAATGATAGATCCAATTAAATAGTATTTATGGTATAAATGAAAAATATAGTAAAGGTAAATTCAAAAATTTTTCATTCAAATTATTTTATTGTATATTCTTTTTTATTTCTTCTTTGCTTCTTTTTTTTTGACAATAAATTTTAATCCATTTATATTAATTTAATAAGACTTACAAAATCTTACTTTCTTCTCTTTTTACATAATTTATTACGTTTTATTATTTCTTTTAAAACATGATTTTATTATGAAGGGTTTTTAGTTAAGTTGTTACTCTTACATTATTTAAAAATCTTCAATTTCTTCTTTGTATAAGGTTTTCCTATTCAAAATACTTTCGTTGACTCTAATACTGTCATTTATCAAATTTGCACAAGTTTCATCGCTCAATTCTAAATCATCTGATAATATTAGATCATCTTTAAGGAATTCAACCTTTTCATATTATATGGCAGATGGTGCACAACCCATTTAATTTTATAAAATTTTATGATTTTATGAATTGACGAATTAATCTATATATAGCACATCTTAAAACAAGATATATTATATATTACATTAATTAATTGTGTTATAATTAAGAAAAATTTGAAATTTCATAGAAAATACAGATAATTAAAGCAACTATTTATTAACAAAAGATAATCTAAGTTAAATTAATAAAATATAGAAGAAAAAGGAAATTAAAGAAAATGAAATTTAACAGTAACTTAATACTTTATATATAATATAGTTATTAAAAATAATAATAAGTTAAACAATTAAAATTTAATGTGAATTTATCTAATTGTTTATAATTTAATTTATTGATAATTTACTTGTAAAATTAGTTATATAATAATAGAAACATATAATCTGATAAAAAAAAGGATTATTAAATATATAATTATATAGATATATTTAAAATTAATAAATAAAATTCTTATATAATAATCAATCGGTAATTTATTGATTTTAAGGCAGTAATTATTATTAATCATCTTCTTATCTGAGATTGCTTGATGATACAGATAAGGATTCAAAATCCTTTTATTATTACTTTTTAGCTAATTTTTATTTATCCATAGTTTTTAATATTTAATCTTCCTTAACAACACCAACCCATGGCAATGGAAGAAGAATGAAAACTCCAGTAATTACAATAAACAACCAAAGTCTAGAATAATCATTTTAATTAACTCCAAGTGCAATTAGAAAGATTGCTCCAAATTAAGATCCCAAAGTTGATCCTATAAAATGAATAAATTAATAAGATACCAAAATTAATAGTACTCATCAACATAGCATACATAGTTGCTTCTATATTCTTAGGACACATTCTACATGCTAAGACTAATATTGGCATAATATTTAATTCTCCTACTAATTATAACATTATAGAATCTCCTAAACAAAAGAATCTATCATTTATATTCCATTCTACATTTTTTCTAGTTACCAATATAATCATTGATTGATAACAAAAATAATATAAAATCGTTGTTGTAATGAAGATTTTCTTAAATGAAACATCTTTCAAATAATTATTATATAATAGAACTCCTAAGATTGTTGAAAAGGCATATACAAATTTTAGCTAACCTAAAAAGGATGGTTCAAATCCTAATACTGATGTATAGAAAAAGAACATGATAGTTGAACTGGATGGTGCCATCATAAAACAAAATATTAATGCCACTGGTCTTTTATTTAATTATATTATACTTGTAAATCAACGGATTTTTGAAAAATATCCAAAAGTCCTTAATACATTGCATAGTGTTATTTCTTCTATCATCCTAACTCAAACCTCTTAAATTCACTTTTTCTTCAGTATAAAAGAAAGAAATCATCATTAAAGCAGCTGGAAATGCTGAAGTCATCAAAAATATTTCTTATTTTGTAAATATGTGTAATAAAGCACCTGAAAAGAAAGCACTTATCAGAGTTCCAAAAGCTCTAACTCCAAAAAAGATAGAAACGTTTTTTGATGCTCCATGTTAAAAATTGGTTTACTTTTATTCTTATTTTGCTGCTACCTCAACTAAAATAGCCTCTCCCACTACATTTACAAAGCACGTTGATAATTGAATGAGAAACAATATCAATAAAGCAGAATGTAAACTATTTGTTCCATATTTATATAAGGCAACCCATCCTAAAGCATCAATAGTACTAAACAAAATTATATAAGATTTTCTTCTATATCCAAATAAAGGCTTTGAATCAGTTATAAGTCCCCAAAAAGGTTTGACAATCCAAGGAATAGTTGTATAACTCAAATACAATCCCATCATAGCAGGTGATAAACCAAAATCATCTTTAAGCATAAAGTTTATTGATAAATCAGCTAAATGTTGAACTCCCTATGAAAAAGCAACCACAGCAATAATGAAATATGATGGATTAAAGTTTTCATATAATTATTAGAAATGACTAAAAAGCTTGACAAACATTAAACTTTTTAAATTAAATCAAAATAATTTCTTATGATAAAACGAATAAATATATAAAAATTAGGCAAAAATATTTAATCTCAATAATTCGATTCTCTTTGAACAGACTAGTTATAAAAATTTCTCAATTTTTTTATGACTGTCAAAATTCAATGATGTTGTTTTAAAATAATAAAATAATCTACATCTGAAAGTATTACTATTAATGATTTATCTCATATTAATATAGATTTCACTTCTTAAGTTTTCTTCTAAAATATTAAGATAATCTAAGTTATTGTACTTAATAATACCAGAATTCCAGAATTAGAATCTGCCCCTTTGACATTTTTGCCTCTGTCTTTATTTCATATGGCCATTCATTATTAAGTAAATTTTCTTGATCCTAATCTAAAATTTAATTATATGGAATATCAATGAAATTATTCTCTTTGTCAATATTATCATATTTAATATATTTAGATACCTTATTCAACTATAATGGGTTTTGACTATAAAAAGACATTATTTTATTTACTGAATTTGTTATTTAAATTTAAGATTATATATATGCTTAATTATTTTTTCAATCTTATCAGATATATTTAAGATTAAAAGTCTTTTGTATAATCTATACATAAAATAATGAAATCTTACTTTCATCATTCACATACTCAGATCCTTCAATATTATGAAGTCTTTCATAAATAATCATTTATTAATTCATATAACCTGTATAGTTACTCTCTCTACAAAGGGTGTAACTGATATACTCTAATAAGACTAAATTTATGCTGAAATCTAATTAGATTTATGCAATTTTTATCTTCAGCTGTTTCAAAGTATCTTTACAATATTCCAAATATTAAATAATGAAATTTTTCAAAACATTTTCATTAAAATATATAATCTAAATTTAACTACTTAATTTTAGTATCTAAGGTAAATAATTCAAGTCTAAATTCTCTCATGAAAATGTAGTTTATACTATTTAAATATAAAATTTAATAGATATCCATCTAACTACAAAAAAGGTTTATTTGATATTATCTTTTGTAACATATTTCCACAATTTTTCCTAAACTTCTCCTGTTTCTTTATAAATAATATACCAAGATATTGGCATTTTTTAACTTATCAAAATAACAATTCCTGATATTATTACAGAAGATGTCTTAGATTTAATCCTAAAATATTGATATATTTTATCATAATTTATATATTGTTGCAAACTTTGGCTAGTAAACATTATAATAAATAAAATTAATATTTGTTTATCAATGGATTCTTATAATGAAACCAAGTACAAGGAATTAAAGAAGAAGTATGCTATTCTAATGAAAGTATATCTTATTTCTTATTGTAATAGCAATATCAAATGATTTAATAAGAATATGAAAAAGTTAATGGTGAATTAGCAGAATCTAATTAAGAGAAAAGAATTCTTCAAAATCGAATTAATGAAATATTAGGAAAATAAAGTGAAGACAATTGAATTTATAATATCACTGAATTTATATCAATTGAGAAATATATACTTAAAGAATTCAAAATCCATACAAAATTTTAATTCAATTTTTTAATGTTTTTATAATCACATAGAAAAAAATCTCAACCTTCTTTGGTTGCTTATTATGAATTTAAAATTTAGGAAATTAAAAGCTACCCTTCCTAAAGAGTAGTCATAACAGAATAGAACACAAAGAATTATGCAAATTTGAGACTTGGAACATCTAGTCCAATTGGTTGTAAAAGTAGAATTAAGACTCTACCTCCAGTAAAAAAAGAAAAAGTTATTCCATTTGAACATGATTATAACACTGCTTATAGAACAGTGTTTAGCTAAAGAAATCTTTTCAATCTAATAGGTGGAAAAAACAAGTGAGTATATTATTATTTTCCTTTTTTTAAAAATGTGTATAAACATATAATCTTAATAAATTCATTTATTAAAAGAACATAAAAGTTATGGTGTATAGTAATCTCAAACTTATAAAGTTGATAAAATCATTGAATTAAATATTTCTAGAATGCTTCAAAAATTTTAAGATCAACATTAATTTGTAATGATAGAACAACATCAATACTAATCTACAATTAAATGATATGAGATGTAATAATCAGAACTTGAGATTCAGTAATATTTCAATTAATTTGTAATAAGAAAAGTCTAATTCTTTAAATTATATTCAATTTACTTAATAGCAATTTATATTATTATTAAATATAAGATCAAGACTTTGTTTAACTTAGAATAAAACATTAAAATTGTTTGACTTTTTACAAACTTATAAAAATCTGTATTTATTTATTTTTTCAAAGAATTAAATTGTGCTTTGAATAGTCAATCTAAAAATAAAATTTATTTTTTAATTATTGTATTAATTTAGATTGTTATAATTAATAAATGAGTTTAAATCACATAATAACTTAATTTCTTAGATGTTTAATATATTTTAGAATTTTGATTTAGCCATTAATTATACTTTTGCTTTTTGAGCCCTTTAATAAATTATCATATCTTTTAATTAAAAAAATATTTTCTAATAAAGTTCTTAAAAACATAAAATATGATTATTTTACATATATTTAAGAAATTAAAACATTTTTATGAAGAATTTATTAGAGCCTATCAAATAATTTAAATGATTTTTATACTTTTTAATGAAAAATAGCTAATTTAGATATTCTTATATATAAAAAATACTTTTATTTTATAGAATAAAAGAGAGAAGAGTTAATTCTATTCAATATAAGACAAGATAATCTGGAAAGAACTTGACTTTCATTTATCCCTAATATTAAATGTTAATATAAAAATTGAACTACCTTGAAGTTCAATTTAATTTAATTAAATATAAATATTTTATAATTGATACTCTCACTTATATTTAGAAAAACAATATAACTAAATTTTATTTCATTATAGAAATAAGATGTGTATTTATTTTCATAATTATTTTACTTAAGAATAAACTCAATTTAAGAAGAAAATAAATGAATAAAATTTAGAAATTGCAACGAATTTTTTTATAAAATAAAACATTTCTTTTTATGAATATATTTTCAAGGTTCTTAATTTTATGCTATTACTTATTATACTTTAGACCAAAATTATTATTAGATTTCCAAATATTATTATTCACATTATGCTAAATCTGCCAGAATAGATTTGTAAGTTTAATGTTTATCTTTTTTAAATTTATCAATTGTATATGATGTCAAAACATCTGTAACCAATTAAAATAATAATTTATATTAATCAACCTCTTTTTGAGTCTAAATATTATTAATAAAATTACTTCATTTAATTATAATTCTAATTTTGATTTTTATTCTTCCAAACTTAGTTTACTAAAAGAACCTTTCATTGTTGAATTTCCTTTCATAATTTTATATAAATCTGATTATTCTTCACTTAACTTTTATTCTGCTTTCTATTTTGATTACATTAGAGAATCTCTAGTTTAAAAAGCTTATAAAAATGCTTCAATATCTCTTATCTCTGTTGAGATTAAATCTTATATTTTATCAAGAGAATTATTACATGGATCTCTCTATATTTAGTTATTAAATAATACAATCTTTTTGGTTAGTTCTAAAATATCTGTATTTGCAGGATTAGCAAATATCAATTTATTTTAAGGTACCCATTCCTGTAGAATTTATTTTTCATATTCAGATATGTTAAGTCCAAATATTGTGAAAAAGGTTTCCTTCAACTATTTTCGACTAGAACTTAAAGATTTGGATTGTTCTAATTATTTTGTCAAAGAGATTTAAGATTATTTTAAAAATGATTAAACTCCACTCATTTTCTTAATCATTTCAGGTGAGATTTCTTTAATCTCATTGATTTGAAATGTTTATTTATATCTATCTGTGTAAGCAAATACATTTTATTTAGGTATTTAAGCTAATTACTATTTATATAGTATATATCAAAATACTTTATTTAAATCAGGATTTGTTGACCTTAAAAAGATATCATAAAATTCTTCTGAATAATAGAGATGCTTAATCTACATCATCTTCATACAAAATATATTAAGCAATCTTGTCCTTTCAATGATTATCTCTGATCCAGTACTAACAGATTTCTCAGGAATTGGTGGTACATATTATCCAGGCCATTTAACTAAGAGTAATTCTCTTATTGTATAGAATTCATTAAATCTTCTTTAAGTTTCAAATTCTCCAAAGCAATCTTTTCCTTTGATAGTGTAAACATAATAAGTTGAAATATTTCCCCCCTTTTAAACAGGATCACTCACTTTTATTTCAATCTAACATATAGAATATGAAAAAATACAGGAAAATTATAATCAGCTTTTAAGAATATATTGTCCAAATTTTATGTAGTAATTACTTCACCTTTTTCAGTTATTTATTATTTTTCTTATTACTCTTTTACTTAATTTTCTTCTATATTATTTTCATTTTTAGTAATTTCAGATTCAACATCCTTCTGTATGATTTATTCTTATGTCTATGATGATTGTTAATTTTCTTTAATGTCTTCCTTATCTTATTTAACTTATTCTGTAGCTATTTCCTGTTTTTCTTAGTTTTCTTAATTCTCAACTTTTATTTGAGTATCCTGTTTCACTTATTGTTCTTATTGATTTTATCCTTCTATTTATGTTTATTGTGCTTGTTCTTATGTACTTTCTTAAAGGACTTGCTATTTTTCTGGGACAGTGTCTTTTGACATATTGTAAATAAATTATATATAAGGGGAAGTAAAATGAATGTATAAAACAATTCATTTTCTATACAGAATTTGTAATTTTTAATAAATTCTTAAAAAAAGCAATATAAATTATTAAATTATGCAAAAAGAAATTAAAGAAGAAGAGTGTGATTATTCATTCAAAAGTAATATTAATATATATTATAAAAGTTGCCTTGGTTGGAGAATGCGATGTTGGGAAAACGTGTATTTGGCAAAATTATTTGAAAGGAATGATACCAAAGAAAACTGTGCCAACAATAGGAGTAGAATTTGAAACAAAATTCATAACACTATCTGATGGATCAAGAATCAAAGCCCAGATTTGGGATACAGGTACTGAATGATTATAGGAAGCTGGTTAAGAGAGATATCGTTCACTTACTAATAGGTAGATTATTTATTATTGACACATAAAGTCATTTTAGAAAAGTAGTTGGAGCATTAGCAATATTTGATTTAACCAATAAAACAAGTCTTGAAAAATTATAACTTTGGATTTAAGAATTGAAAAATCATGGAGATAGTGATATTCAAATAATACTTGTAGGAAATAAATTAGATTTAGTCTAAAAAAATCCTAGTTGTAGATAGGTATTAGAAGATGATATTAAATAATTTGTAAAGTAAAATAAATGGAAAGTATTTGAAATATCTGCATAAATACCAGAAAATGTTAATCAATGTTTTGAATGTTTATTTATAGGTTTATTTATTATATTGATTAATTAATTAGATCTTTGTAAATAAAAAACTGGATTTAGAGGAGGGGAATAATCATAATTAAAACTTATGAAATAATCTGCAAATTTAAATGAAGGAAAATGTAAATGCTGATAAATAATTATATATTTAATGTATAAAATCATATATATATATATCCATTCTTTTTAGTTTTTATTATTTATAAGAATAATCAATTAAATAAATTCTATTTTCAAAATCTAAATAGATAAGTATAGATTATAATTGTAGAATCTGAAATCTTTATGAATTAAAATTAATTATTATCATGATTATAATTTAATAAGATTTAATTAAAATATGATCAAGAGTCAAATACATTTTGAATCTAATGAGGAGCATCATATATTTCAGTTGCATCTGCTGATTATTTTTCTTATTATTCTTAAAACATATAAGCTTTTGTTTCTATTGGCTATTGTTGAACCTCAGAATTAATAGCATTATTCCAATCAATTTCAAATCGTGTTATACGTGGTTTATTATTAAAGATTTATCTGGCAATATCTTCAATAATCACTTCTTAAGGGTCGTTTTCAATGTTTTCAGGAGATGTATACGTATTATATACATAATATCCAGCTCTAAAAAATTCTCTATGTCTATATGAACAAGTCAAGATGAAGGCAGTGATACCCAATACTTCATCTTGTGGAATCTTTTTCCAATCAGGAGGATTTGATTCAAGAGTGAATTACTTTGTACCTTTAGTCAAAGGTCCCATAGAAAATTAATCTAATATTTAATCATGAGCTTCATCTTTTGGAGAACCTATATAAAGAAGTCTAAAATTAATAAATAAATATGTACGTCCATTCTATTTCATCTTCTATATCAGCTATAACATCAAAGTAAATATCCATTGTTATTGGACTTGTGAATGGTTAGGGTTTGTCATCAACTACAATATTAGTAATACTAACAAAGGCCATTAACTTTTTTTATTAATTAAATATTATATTTTGGAGGTTAATCAAAAAGTACATATAATTGAACAAATAAATAGTGTTTAAAAAATTGCAATAGTAATTTAGAAAATCTACGTTGAAGAAATATGGGATAAAATAAGATAAATATATTATAAAAACACTATTAATAATCTTATATGAATGATATCCAAATTAAAAATATCTAAAAGAAAGTATTAGTGATTTAATCGAATAGAGAAACCAAGAGTAATAGTAAATAGCATGATAGGAATTTGTATGTGTATTTTTGTTGTTTCTGATTAAATATTTTTGTCATTTTATTTGTTCCAATTAAGAATCAACATTGAGATCTTTAGGAACAAATGCAAACGGTAAAATTTCAGTGCCCTTTGAATATTTTGGTTTGGTATGATCCTTTCCAATAGCAATTATTTTAATATCATTTCCAGGATAACAAAACTATATTAATAGATTGAAGTTATTACTTCAATTATTGTTTATCTACACATGCCACAAGAGAATGTAGGCTCATCAGTATCACTAAAATTTTAATTTGAAAATATACCATGAAACTACAATTGTTGAAATTTAACGATCTCCTTCACTTACAGCTTTGCATATTGCTACACGTTCAGCACATATACAGAGACCATAACTTGCATTTTCAACATTACATCCAGTATATATTTTGTTATTTTTAGTCAACAAAGAGCATCCTACTTTAAAATTTGAATATGGACAATAGGCTCTTTCTTTAGCTTTGAGTGCTTCTTGAATTAATTGATCTTCTGTAATTTCCATATTTAATTTATTATTTATAACTTAATTAGTCATTCCAATTCTTTTCCTAAAGTTTCAAATGGCAAAAAACAATTTGAAAATGACGTAATAACAGAGAGAACGGAAAACAATACAAAAGGACTTCTTAATTGCTGGCTATTCATATACATGCATATCCATGGCATAATCACTCCTCCCAATCTTCCTATTCCATTAGCCATACCTATTCCAGTTGTTCTAATTTTTGTTGGATATACTTCAGCTGTATATTAAAATCTAAAATAAAATTAAATTATGATACGAAAAGATGAATGTCATAGATAGGAAAAACTTAGATGCAGTTGCCCAATATATAAAATGATGTTCAATATCATAAAATGCCATTAATGCTGTTAAGGCTTGTATTGTAAAGAATATAATTAATGAGTTCTTTCTTCCAAATCCTTTTATTTCAATAAAGAAAGCAGCTGCTACTGCACCCAAGATATCACTTATACAAGATATTACTAATTAAATTATCTTATCCCTTCCAGTTTAAGTTTATTCAATATGTGATAAAATGTCTGGCAATAATAGTACAATTCCATAATATACAAATGAAAGTATAAACCAATTAAACCAAATTAAAATTGTAAGAAAGAATCGATTATTTTCAAATAATGACATTATTGAAGCCTTAAAAATAAATAAAATTAATACATTATTTTAATTTTTGGCAATTCTATTCATAGCATGAGTCCAATTAGATAATTTGATTTTCATATCATCAGTAAATTAAATTGAAGATTTATTTGATTTAATCATTTCTTCAATAATATTGTAAGCTAAATCTTTTTATCCACTTAACAAAGCAAATCTAGGACTCTCTCTTAACCAAAATAAACTTATAAACCAAGCTAAGAATCCTGGTAGACAACACCAAAATGTTAATAATCTCCAATTACCTTCATCCAATGATATTAATGTATATTCAGCAACAAATAATCCAAATAATTAACCTATTGCAAAAGTTAATGTTATCAATCCCATATATCTCCCTCTTAAATGACCAGGAGTAATTTCAGATATCATAGTTACTCCACAAGGTGCAAATAAACCAACTATTTATTAATTTATTATATAATACCTAGAATTCCTAATAATGCTCTTACTGTCAAAAGTGAATAAATTTCTTAACAAGCTATTGTTCCTAAGGATAACAGACATGTAAAAAATGAACTTATTAAAAATGGTTTCTTTCTACCAACTCTATCAGCCAATTGTCCTGACAACATTGAACCTACTAAATATCCTACCTGAATTAAGATGACACTATTACAAAAACAAAACTTGCTTATAATGAATTTAATGAATCAGAAATGTGCCATTCATTTTTTAATATTGGAACCATTAAAGTAAATATAGTAATCTAAGCTCCTTCACTAATACTCATCAAGGCCATAATACCATATATCCAGTATTAGAATTTTCCAAAATTGATTTCATCTAATAAATGATCAAATGACAGTATTTAATGTTCAGGAATAGAGACCTGACTATTATATTCTCTAATTAATTTCAATTCTGAATTATCCATTCTTCTAGGAGAAGTTATTGAAGCATTTCTAGATAATTTGAGTGGACTACTCTCTTATTTAGAATACCATGGGCCATTATCCATTAAAATTTATTAATAAAATATAAAAAAGTGATTATTCATATAAATTTATTAAATGCAATTTAATAATAAAGATCTCTTCTCACTATAAATAATTCATCTAATATTTTATAATACTCTGTTAAATTCATCTAATTCAAAGCTATTCTATTTTTCTTCACTTATTGAAGTCAAAAATATATACATAAATATAATATTATTCTTTATTATATTATTCTTGTTCATTCAAATATTATTCAATAAAAATGCAAATAAATTTATTTGTCTTTTTTAATTTTAATATTATTATATATACTAATAATTTAATTTATAATTCTCAAATATTCATAATAGTATTTAATTAATAAGTATGTTCAAGGTTCAATTTAAATTCATTCAAATTTTATATTACATTAAACTCAATTATTCGATCATTTTTATTGTTTATTTTACACATTACTTAAGTTAAACATATTTCCTATAATATCTTCTTATTCACTTTTTCAAGAATAATATTCAAATATCTTTATTCTCTTGTCTAATATTGTCTGAATTAATTGAATTCTGTCTTAAATGTAATCAAACAACTAATAACTTAAATTCCTTCAACTTATTTTTAAATTGCCTAACGAAATACTAAATTAATAATTACATTAATAAAGATTTTCTAACAATCTAATTAACTGATATTTATCACAATTACATTTAAAATTAATTAAAGTATCATTGCATAATTAGTGTAACATTAAGTTTAACTTTCCTTAAAATATATTTCTATTTCCTATTTTGGATCATATATACCCCACATAGATTAAATATCACTGAACAGTAATGAAAAATGAAATTACTTCATTTCTCCAAATTTTGTAGTACCAATAAATAATTTCATATTATAATATCCAAATATAGTTTTATAAAGAAATTATATAGACTTTTTTAAAATTAATTATTGATTCTTATTTATTAACGATTATTAATTTAATAATGATTTCAAATACCCTAATGATAAACGAGAATAATCAAAACAATTAGATAAATGATGATTCAAAAATTTGTATCTACTATTTTTCTTTTTCAATTATATCATTTTCTTACATTAAGTATCTTCCTGAAGTAAAATAATTAATCTTGGATTACCATTGTTTAAACAATTTTACAAAGATACTTTATAGATTTATTTAAATTTATCAGAAGAGATCTCAGCTGATCTTTCACTCACCTTATCCTTAATTAATTTAAATAACACCTATTCTAAGGTTTATTTCAATTAAGCTAAAGCACTTAGAGTTTAATCAGATTCTTCATTCAAAGTGTTTTAATGTTAAAAGGAGACTACTTTATAATTTCTTATAAAATATGTAAAATCTTCTTAATTTTTAATTAATTTAGTAGCTTATTTATTTACATGTAAAAGCTAAAATGCATTTATTTATTCATTAAATGAACATTAAACAATTTTAAATTTAAATACATTATCTAAAGACTATTACAATTAAGTATCTTCAGTTTTTAGTAGAAAAAACATTCTTTTAGTTTTTTCTTATATCCAAAGTGATTTTAGGACTAACAACAAAGCTAAAATAAACATTATTTGTATTGAATTAAAAAATTCTTAAACATACGTGCACATAATCATTAATCCAATTTAATTAAGCAATAATATTCCAAAATTGGCAATAATATTGGATCCAAGTAATAAACTATATTAAACCATTGCTACCGTTTACCCAGCTAAAAAGAGAACATTAGAATTGGCAAAGACAAACAATAAAAAATAAATCATCACTCCAAGTAAAAAATTTGTACAAGCCAGAATTATATTAAAAAGGTCAGGGTACTTTCTTACAATTTTATGGCTTATATAAAAGCTAATTGGTATCAATCCCAATCCATATTTCAATAGTCCAAATCCAAAAGGCTAAAAAAACTCCATACAAAAAACACCTATTGCACTTATAGTTCCTATGATGCAGGCCCAAGTGTAAAACTTAAAGAGTTCATTAAATTGATCAGCAAAATACTATTGCTCAAGATTTTGATTATTAAATCTTAAAGTGTATTTATTCATTTTATAAATGACAACTTAATCAATTATTGAGAAGAAATAACAAATAACAAAAAATTGGAATTAAGAATTAATTTCTTATTATTGATATAAAAATCAATCATTTTGGTCATCATTTTCTTCAGCAATCTCTTCTGGATATTCATTTTCACCTTCCTCTCCTTCTTCATTTAATTACTCAGGATCTATTCCAAAAAGATGTAAATTTTGCTATTAACCAATAATCATTAATTCATACACTGAATATATCTCTAAATTGATTATTTTCATTTGCCAACTTCTCTACTTCTTCTTATAATTGTTATTTCTCATCACTCATGTGTTAATATAATTACTTGAAATTTTCGATTAAATCTTTATAATATATTAAATTAAATTTACCCTCTAATTTATGAATTTCCTCATCTTTTGCTTCTAATTATTAACCTAATTCTTAAATAATTTCATCTTTTTAATTATCATTACTTTTAACTGATTTCTTATTTGATGATTATAAATTCTTTTTAGAATTATTCATTAATTCTTCTCTCATTTATTATAATTCTTCTTGATTATCATGTAAATTTTGTTATAATTATTCTATAATTTAATCTTTCATAGATGATTCTTATTGTAGTTCATTAAGAGTTTATTGTAATTCTTCCTAATAAATTTACAAAAATAATTACTAAATTGTATTCTTAAGCTATACTTTCTAATTATTAATTTTTTTCATTAAGAATCTATTCTAATTCATTAATTTAATCTTCATATTGATATCTAACTTTATTTACTTCTTCTTATATATGTTTATTTGTTTAATTTAATTTATTATTCAAATTTCTATTTTCTTCAGTTAATTATTAAATTTTTTATTTATCTTCTTTAATTTTTTGGTCAAATTCTTATTCTAATTTTTATCTAAAATACAAAGATTTAAATACAATCTTCTTTATGCTTCTCTTTCTTTCTAATTAACTTATGATAATTCTGCTCTTAATTTTTCTGTTTATTATTATTCTTCTTTTAATTAGCTTATTAATTGTTGACTATTTCTCTCATTATCAGAAGTAATCTTTTAATTGGAAGAGTATGGTCGTTTATCATTAGAAAGATATTATTGATCAGCTCTTCTATCATGACTATCGATTTTTTTATCCAAATAATCATGTTTATTGCTGACTCTATTAATATCAATAGTTTTGGAATAATCAGGTTTCTTAGAATCATTGTTTAGAAAGTCCTTAGTTGGAACTTGAGGTTGAGGTTTGTAATCATTTTTTTTGAATGAATTTCTTTAATCATTTTTTTAGGGAACAGGGACATTACTTTAATTTTTCTAATACATTTCTATAGATAGAATTAATATTATTTATTACCTTGATATGGAATGATTTCAGTTTTATGTTGCTAATCTACAGGTCCTGTTCTATTATGAATTTGAGAATCACATGAATAACATAATCTGTATGTTTGACCATATCTACATTAGTTACACTTTATAGTAGCAGGTCTTTGTTAACATTTTTAACACTTGACAAAGAGAGATTACATTTTCAAAGGATGTTAAGAAAATATATGATAAAAATCTTAAAATAAATAAATTTGAATTTATTTTAAAATAAAAGTATTCATTAAGATTATAATTACCATTCGTAAATCTATGTTTGGCATGAGATTTAGATAAGTAACCTAATGTTATTGATCACACCTTTGTCAAATGGATACCTAGAATTTTGGTCAATATACGAAATCCTTTTCCAACTCAAATATTCCCCTGATATTATTGATCACTTTACATGTTGTAATATTTTTGGCTACATAAAATGCATGAAATCCAAATAGAGTTATCAATAAGATTACAATAATCCCCATAACTACAAGTAATCCAATATTTTGAACTGAAATTCTTATCCCTACTATTAATTGAGCAATTTGAACAAATAAATAAATAAGAAATATCAATTTATTCTTTTCTCCTATACAAATACCAATCCAAGGACAATGATGATCAAACATTGGAATACATTTCTTACAATATTAACAATGTTTGGCTCTCATTGGTTATTCATTTAAACATTGCATACAAAATCTCTTTTCTGCTGCTAAAATTGGTGGACTTACTGCATTTGAAGTACTAATACAAGTTTATTTATTTGGAGTATTTATTTTTGCTTATTCAGATGAAGGAGATGAAAGCATTCCTCTACCTGATAAGATGTGTTGATTATCAACTTATTATTATTATTATTATTCTGGATAATATCTAAAAATTATATGAAATTATATTTTACTTTTAAATTGTGTTGTCATTATCTGGACCATCTTTGAATTGATCTAATGAAATCTAACCATTAGATTCATCATTTGCTTAAGCATTAAGTACTTCTCTTTTTACGTTATTTTCAATCTATACTTCAATTTAATTGTTCTCAAGTGGAATTTCTACTTTAACTATTGGAATAGTTCCAGGATCTTTGATTCGAACTATAAAATATAATCCACATGAAGCAAACATTAAAGGTCTAGTTGATAGTTCATTAATATAACAACCCAAAAATATAATAATACAAAAGGAATTCTTTGTATGCCCATACATGTAAACCAATCTGCACAACCATAAATATTGTTGGCCCAAGATATGCTAAAATACATAAGAATTAATTACTTTTCTAATTGTAAAATAGACAAGCAGCTTTCATCTCTCCTAATATTATTTGTTTATAAATATTTGAATAATTATTATCATTATACTATAAAACTTAATTATAATCTTCTTCATTTTTACAAGCATTTATATCCAATCAATTTGTCTTTCCATATATATATTAACATTAACATTTATAATTAAACAATATGAACATTATTTCATTTCTCAATAATAATAAACTATTCATTTCAAACTGAAAATATCTATTATTATGATTACTAATTTCAAAGAATTACCAAGCAACTCTTAAACTATCATCAATGCCCTTAAAGATCTCAATATATTAGACAACAACAATGAATTCTAATCCTAATAGTAAATTTCTATTCGCCTTTAATCCTTTTTTGAGAATGCACAACAAAAAGTACTAATATACATCCATTATTTTAGTCACAATTCTTAAAGTCTTTATTTAAAATTTTTGAAAAAGAGACATAAGAAGAGGGAAACTTATAAAAAAAGTTAAAACTTTTACTTTTACTTCATATTCTTTTAAGTTCATCAATAGCTCGATCTGAATTATCTAAAATTTTTATATCAAAACAAATCAATATTCAAATCAACAACACTACTTTAGGAAAGGTTTGTCAATAATATTATTTTTATCTATATAAATTGGCATCTTAAACTACATTTATAAATGAAGACGTAATCAATGGTGATATATTAATATATTTCACATTATCAAATTAATGTAATTTAGGAATTAGCATTTAATCCTTAATTGAAGATGTAGAATCATTCTAAAATAATTAATTGATTGGGAATATAGTTAAATCAATTTATTACGATTTGCAAAACATAGCTATTTTTATAATAAAAGATGTGAAGTCGCTTATTGAAAATTAACATAATATTAAATAGAACAAATTACATATTCTTGAATTATATAAGGAAGTAAAATCTTATTTTAATATGTTAGTGTTAAGTACTTTAATAAAAGATGCTTGGGTTTTATCGATTCAATCGTCATTTTTCTCACTTTAACTAAATTATGCCTCCTTTTTCATTAATTATTGAATAACACTACCTAAAAGAATTACAAGACAATAAACCAAAAATTCACTCTTTAAAACATTTGTCTAAACTGAGTGAAGAACATGTTAAATTTTAGCCCTAGACTTCTAAATAAAGATAAATGATATAATTTGAATTTGTAGAAAAGAAACAACAATAAGAATCTCCTCAGTTTTCATTTTCAAATTGATATTTATTAATTTGTTATAAATTTTATGTAATGTACTTTATTTTATAATATCATTTTCATTTCTTGGCTTTGGTTGGAGCTTTTTGAGTTGGTTATGGTACAGCCTTGACTGGAGCTGCTGCTTTGGCTGGAGCAGCTACTTTAGCTGGAGCAGCACCCTTAGCTTATGTTACTGGTTTAGCTGCTTAAGTTGATTTGACTTATTTTGTATCTTTAGCCTAATGATTAGCATAATTATATTACTTTTGGTTATTCCTTAGTCTTTTCTTTGATTTCTGATGAAGCTTTTCTGTGCTTCTTGTGAGCTTCATGGACATCATGAGCCAATTTTTTATATGCTTCTAAGGCTTATTTGGCTTTGGTTCTTCTAGCTTATTCTGTCTTCTTTTGAATTGTCTTTCTTCTCAATCTTGATTCTGTGACAAGTCTTTAAATCTTTGGTGCCTTTTATCTCTTCTTTCCATCTTTTGTGGTCCATGTTCTTCTAATGAGATTCTTTTAAACTATAGCAACACCATCAGTCTTTTTGAATCCAAATAATCTTCTCAATTTAGTTAATCTCTTTGGACCTAATCTTCTTGGAACATTTTAATCTGTGAGTCCAGCTATTTCATTGGCACCCTTCTTTACGACTTATAAGGCAAGTACTCTGATGTCTTGACCTACAATGCATCCTCTAATTGATTTGCGTTTCATCTCTCCATCCTTTCTTGGTCTGTAACCCTTGTGTCCCTTTCTCATGAGAATTCTAACTCTTCCTTTAAATAGAACACCTTGTCTCATTGGGAAACCTTGTTTATCGTTACCACCTGTAATCTTGAATACATATCCTTTGTATTCATCACCTAAGTTGTCAGCTTCTACAACTTGTCCCATTCTCTTATCAAAGAATATTGAGCTACATTATCACCAATAATTTATTACCATTTCTTGTCATCATCAATTTCGACTGTTTTTTAAGCACCTGTCAAAGGGTAGGAAATGTTGAACTAAGCAAAGCATATTTAGTTACCTTCATAAAAATCTTGGATTTTTTTAAATTAGATTTAAAATTGTGTGTTTCACATTTTAATATTATCTAACTGTGTGAGACAACAATAATATTAAATAAATAGAAATAAAAAAAGCTTTTCATTTTGATTGAACAAAATACAAAAAAGATTTGATAGTATGTCATTTCTATTAAAGTAAGTCTTATAAAAAAAGAAGATTGAAATAATTTAAAAAGATGTGATTTATATACATTTAATTTTTTTATGTCATTTAAATAAAATACTAATAAATAAGATTAGAATTCTTTAGAACTTCCATAATTGAAATAGATAATTTATAGTATAAATAATCATTAATATATTTGAAGAATGTCTTGATAAAAATAAAAAATAAATGTTAACTTGATTTTAGGATAAATGATACTCTATTAAATTGTAAATTTTATAATATTTATAATAATTGATAATAAAAATAGAAGAATACATTATAGACTATTTACTAAATAATTTTTTTGTTTTTTTTATAATAAAAATATTCAAATGTGAAAAATGAATGCGCAACTCGTCACGTCAAACATTTATTTTAAATTATAAAATCTTTATTGTAATATGAAATTATATTCATTTGTAACAATTGTAAAATGAACAAGAACATAATTCTTTATGCTTTGTTTTTAGTCCTGTGTGTTTAACCAACCAAGGCTTATTCTGTTTTTGACTTTGGATATAGTGATTTAGAGAATGCCAATCCAACATAATTAGTTTATAATGTAAAACTTACATCGAAAACAGATCGGCGTTTACTCATTCTTAGGAATATTACAGTATTTGCTTGTTAGTGCTATATTTGAATGGAAAAATCCTATGCCTAAAAATAAGTTAAGAATAGAAAATATAAAAAGAGAAATCAAATATGGTACAACATAGATATTTTTACAAGTTGCATATTCAATGGTATAATTAAAATATGATTATAATAGATATTCTATCATTATGTCTATCCATATTGTTAATGGTATCGTTATTATACAATAAACTCATATGGATTATTGAATTTTGGATACGGAATGATCTTTTTGTATATTTGGACCACAGGTATGAATTCAAAATGTATCAAATAGTATTGGGATATTGGGTTCATAGGATTTTCCATTTTAGATTTCTTTATAAGCATGTTCATAGTGTACATCATTCATTCAGAGAACCAACTGCCTTTGGATATTGTGCAACACATCCACTTGAAGGAATCAGTGAAGTAAATACTGTGTTACATTTGGCAGAATTGATAATACCAATACATCCTTTGATGACTTTGTTTTTCTTTGAGTACATCACAGTAAATGAGATGATGGGACATGATGGAGGGTAAAATAATAATAATATATATTATAGTGAATATGATCATTCTGATCATTATAGACATCATCTATATTATGTAGTAAATTATGGTGATACAATAATGGATGAATTTTTTGGAACTGTTTACAATTCTGTAATATAATTCAATTTATACATAGAAAAATTACCCAATAAAAGCTAAATGTACTTATGTAGAATCTATTGAAGATAGAACAGAGGCTATATTTATGAAATATAAATGAATGTTATAATTAAATATTTTATTATTTAATGGGTTGTTTATAGTCTAGAAATCAGTAACTTATAGAAGAGTAAAAAGAATAAGCTGCTATGAATGAATAAGATAAGAGTATAGATTATTAATCTATTTAATAGATAACAATTTAGATTTAGTAAGTTGTCCATGCTCAGATAGTAATAATAGTTAAAACAAATCTACAAATAGAGTATCAATTGAAGAATGTAGAAATTCATTTAATCGAAGTATTGATCTAATGTAAGATATCAATAAAAAATTGGAAGCATTTTCAGGAAATGATTCTGATCTATCAGATAGTGAATTATAATGATATTAGTATTTTATAGGACTTTATACAATCATATTCATTATTATTATTAATGTGAATCTACGATTTCAGAATATTTTTTGATGCTTAAATTGATATTTGCCAATTATAATGACATTGCACCATCAGAAAACTAATTTAAGGATTCATAAATTGGTTTGACAATAACCTTCAAGAATCCAATTTCGTTTTTTGAATATTATACTTCATCATCTAAATTTCTTAGGTATGGTGTTTATGCAATACCAACAATATCTTCTAATTAAGACTTTAAAATTCATATTATTAATAATTTACTTAAGCTTGAAATTCTCTTCTTAATCTTTCACTCCATGCTCTAGCAACTTAATAAGACTTAGCTGCTCCAAAAAAGTCAGCTGCATGAGTCAAGAATCCACTTAATAAAATCTTGTTATCTTCAGATTCTAGTTAAAATATATGTTAAATATAATACAAAAGATTTTGGGATCCCCTTAAGATTGACCAAATTTTATTTCAATATCATTAAGTAATTTAAAATGATATTAATTATCTGTTGCTAATACATTATTCACAACATATTTTCTAATCATTATTTTATCTGCTCTAGGAACAGATTCTAAAAAATCACATTATTTTAATGCTAATAATTTATAAGTTACTGCTATATGATGATTTTCTAATACAGATTTATCATTATATATTAAAGCCAATTTAGTTTATGTATTTATTTAAAATAAATTATTTGTTCCAGGATGTCCAACATCATGACATAAACCTGTTAATGTCATTGCAAATCTTTATTAATCATTGAAACAAAATCCAAATTTTGGATGATGAGCAAAAAGAAAACATCCATGCATTACATTAACTCCATGAGTAAAATTATGAAATGGATTTGCTGTTTTATTATATTTGTATTTTAATGCAGTTAAAAAATTAACAAATTCTTTATTTTTTAATGGATATTATTTAGTGTATTCAAGCATATCAAATATGTTATAAACTATTATAAATTTATTCTTATATAATTTCTTATTTAAAAGATTGAATTCGTAATCTAATAATCTTTCTTATAAATTAGGATCTATTGCTATTTTTCGTCCATCTGGATTTTTCTTATCTTCTTCTTCATATTTATTTAAGAATGATGCTAATTTTCTTGATTTTTTTTTCATTGTAGTTGCTCTATATTTCTCTAAAGCTTAATCATGATCTTAATTATAAACAATAGCCAATTTTCTCATATCATGATCAGGCAAATACATTACCAAAGCTGATTATCTAAAGAATTAATTTTCCATCATTAATTATTTTGATTTAAATGCTAATGTTGCTTTCTTTAGTGTTAATAATATTTTAACTTTATTTCTAAAAATCTGTAACAATTCATTAAGAGGTCTTATTAATAAAATTTATAAATACCTTTTTAATTATATATTAAATAAATAGAGTAAAATTTATTTAATGTCTTATTTTATTCCTCTTTCAACTTTTAATGAAAATTTATAAAATCCATCATCAAATTCTAAATGATCATTTTTAGATTCAATTAATTCTTTAACCTTTGAAATTACAATAGGATTTTTTTCAAAAATTTTATAAATGGGATCTCCATAATTTATATCTTTAGATAATTTAAATCGAGACCTATATATATAGATATAAAGATATATACACAAATTAATCATGATTCCATTAAACAGTCATATAATATAAATATAAGTAACTGTTAAAGAATAAACACATAATCATTTCATTATGTTAAGTAACTTATTAAAAAGATTCTAACAAATTCTTTTTCTATTTCAATTTTTTACTATATCTTTTAATACTCTTTCTAAATGTACTCTAAATTTTTTCTTTCAATTATATAGAAAGATTTCCATCCAAATCTATATAAATACTATCCCATTCCTTATTAAAAGTTAATAATAAATAATCAGTCACTTTTTATTACATTAAATATTCTTTATCAATTAAACTAACCAAATTTTATAAATTAAATTATTTCATTATCTAAATTAATATATGAAATATTAGTTTGTATGTTAAAATATTTATAGTTCTTGATACCAATTACAGTATTTCCATTCTAATTGTTTATAACTTTTTTAATCCAACTATTTGATTTCCTTATTTAATAATTGATATAATAGAGTTGTATAGAGAAGTTATCATTAGATATTATTTAAATTTATTATTCACTTTTTCAGTAAAGGTTAGAAAAAATACATCATTATTTGATATTATGTAATACTATGGTAATTTTTCTATTTTTAATAAACTGAGATAATCTAATGGAGTTTCTATAATCTAATTATGGGATTGTTATTAAGTAAATTCTTGAATTTCTTGAGCATCTTTAATTATAATTGATTCAAAATTATTCGTAAGTATATGACATTGATGATCTTATTTAAACTAGAGTAAGCTAAACTCTTTAATATAAAATTGCTTAAGAATCAATCGTATAAGATCCTTAACCTCTTACTAATGATGTTGAGCAATAAAACACTCTTTATAAATTTCATTGATATCTTGCTAAGATCTAATTTAGATTCAATTTACCTTAATGTCACGATAAAACTCCTTAATCTTATTCTTGAGTTATTTACATATGTATACAATAGAATCACTAATAATAATTATTAGACTACTTACAAATAGGATTTGACTATGTTTTCATTTCCATTTTGATTATTTAGCATTTTAGATAATTCATCAATTAAGTCACTTTATGATAAGCCATTCTCATAGGAAACTAGTAATTCCTTTAATTGTGAGTGGTCTTTAGCAGCATGATCACAAAGTCGAGAATATTAGTCTGGTGTTATTAAAGCTTTGCTTTTAAGCTGAATTAATAAGAAAGTCAATCGACTAGATTGAGATAAATAGCTCATTTAATCTGATAATAATAATTGAATTATGAATTGAATTTTAAAATTATACTTTTATCAAGAGCTTTTGTTACAAGCAAATAATTATAATAATAGTGCATATTCATTATTATATGACAAGAGATTATTTGTTAGATGAAGGATTGCCTTAAATATCGTTATTTTCTATTATTGATCTTTTAATGAAATCTTTAGCCCATTATATATCCTCTTTCAATTCAATTACTTATTTTTGATACTTAAAACCTTTCTATATAAATTCTTTGTATTCTGGATTAAGTTCCTCAAAGATATTCAAAAATTGATAAAGCATATTTCTTGTAAATTGATAACTCTATATAAATATAATTTAAATAAACATACCTTTTACCAATTCTCAGGTGCTAATACTTTGAATATCCAATTTGTATCAAAACATCTTGAAATTGAACTTACTTTTCCTCCAATCATCAAAATCAATCGACTTACTTACAATATTAGAGTTACAAACAATGATGCTATCTATTTAAATTAGAAATTAATATTATACTAAAACTAAAGGGAATATCCAATGTGAAAATTTAGAAAATATCACTACTGTTAATGATTATACGAGAAACGTGACCACAAAGCAAAACTTAAAGACAGAATACAAAATAGGTAAATAAATAAAGCTATCTAAATCATAAATGTATTTATTACCTAAATAGAATACGTTTACTCCCAATAAAGCTGAAATTATACGAGCACTTAAAACAACTGCAAAAGCAGCTCCAAAAGCAACCAATTCAAGTAGTGCATATAAGAGATAACTGAATAACAATAGAGAATCAAATTTAAAGACTGTATCATAATAAATTAGAACTAAATAGAGAGATAAGGCTTTTGTTGTAAAATTGAGGAATGTCATAAATATTTCTATCTTCTCTATTTTATCTAATTTATCTAGTGTATCATTTAACATAGCTTAAACATCAAGATATTCTGCCTTATGAATATCATCATGATGAATATGAATTTGATTTCCTTCCCAATCTTTTCCTATTAATAGTTCTTGGTTATCCTTTTCTTTATTCATTAAAATATAAATAAATATATTTATTATCTAATTCTTTTTAATAATCAATGACATACATTGTTATCATCAATATCTATTATTAAGAAGACTCATTAATACAAAATCAAAAAGATCTATATAATTTTATTTTATTAAACATATTATTTATGAAACTTATAACAGCCTTGTTACTAATTACACTTATATTAGCTGATCCTAAATTAGTTAAACAAGAAACATAAATTAAATACATTTTTAGGCAAAGAAAATTGTAACAATTGCTAAGTTAAAGGTGGTTCATATTGTGAAATTAGAACTAATACTTATGTATGTTGTAGAAGTGATGATCATTGTTAGAAGGGTATTGGATGTATGTAAGCATTTACAGGTATCATTTGTTGAATATTTCTATAAATAAGTATTTTATTATTTATAATCATTTATCATACCCTTCTTCTTAAATGGAATTTTAAGAATGTTATGTTCCTCCTATATCTGAAAAAGTAAAACTAACTTCTTGAATAGGATATTCTAAATAATTTTCTGAACAAACACTCTTTTCTTAAGTATCCTAATATTATTCTTAAATATTAATTCTTTGCCAATAAAATTGTTATTGTTATTATTCATATGGATCTATATGTAATTAAATATCTTCATAAAATTAATTCATCTCTTCAGAATTATTTATTTATTCATTATTTTATATTTCATATTGATTTTCTTAATTTTATAATTTCTATTTTTTAATAAATCTTTCTAACTATTTGATCTATTACATTTATTCTAATAACTATTATTTTGTCTTTTAAATTTCTTATTTACTTTATTAATACTAATTCTTAAATTTTTTTATTTATTTTTTTGAACAATAATCTGGAGTATGATTATTGATTTAAGAGAATGGATATTCCAACAAACACTATGTACATTTGAATGTTCTGAATGAACAACACCCATAATGTGTTTAGTAATCATAATAAGAAAATGTTTATGAACACCATGTACATTAAATAGGCTTAAATTCACATTCTTGAAACTAGAATATTAATTAATATAATTTACATGAGTTTTACTATTAATTTTAATTATTTTACCAAGACAATATTAACAAATAATTAATCTATATTCACATTCATTATAATAATGTTTTTCTTTATTATCATAACAAATACTCTCTCTACATCCATTATTCTATTATTATATATTGGATGATGATAAATACATAATATTTGCAACTTATTTTCAATTTGCTCAACAATTTAAATAATAATTTTGGAGCTTAACTTCCATCATTTGGTTAATATGAAATTGATCTACAACAAGGGCATGTTTTTGAATGATATTGATTATACCTAATTAATATTTTAAATAATTAAGATACCATTATGAAAGACATTATTTACAAAATCCTTAACTACAATCTAAACATATTCTTGGATCAATTAATATATGAGAGCATATTGGACAAATTAATTCATCTATAAATACTTTAACTTCTTCAAAATTTAAAATTCTAACTACATCTATATATTCCTTTTCAAGTTGAGATTCTGATTAATTTAAAATCTAAGGATTATCCAATTAAGAGATTTATTGTATATTTTAATTTTAAATTATTTCATCTTCAAATGAATCAGGGAATTGATTGTAAAAGTTCTCTATTTCAATTTCCAATTAATCAAAAGTTTCTTGCATATAATAAAGAATAAAACTATTATATTTATAATATAAAAAAAATATTTAGTTTAAAATAATAGTTATACATTAATTTTGATTAAATCTTTTATGATGATTGTAATATTATGTTGTTTTATAGTTTTTGAATTGAATAATAAAAATAATTATTGTAATAAATGAAATACTAATAAAATATTAATGATAATTAATTGCAGTCATTAGAAAATAGGTTATTTGATTGAATAATAAATGATAAAGGAAGTTTGTGATATTTGCAATGATATTGAATGTATTGAATCTCATAAATTTATCCTAAAAACAGATTTATTGGATTTCTAATAAAAAGCACTTCCTTTACTAACATAACTATAAACCATATTATATGATCAATTACCTAATTAAATTGATTAACTAAATAAAATGATTAATTAAGCATATTAAGGCTTTACTAAAAGTTCTTAAAAGAAATAAATTGAAAATCTGATGTCAATATTACAAAATGAAGAATAGAAATATTAATTTTAATTAATAAATTTTTATATTGCACGTGATCAAATTAAATAAATAAAAGAGAAATTAAAAGAAGTAATAGATTTTGAATTAATAATCTAAAGATGTATATCATAATTTAATTAGAATTAAAATATTACAAAAGAAGTATAAACTATAAATTTTGATGATGATTAAGATCTTATTTAGACTACAAATAAAGAATAAACAGATTAATTATTTATAAAATAAATTGATATACCAATCTTAAATTAAAATATAATTGAAAAATCTAATAATTTTGAGATTCCAACAACTTTTAAATTTAAAAGAATGTATAGTATTACTTGGTTGAATGAAAATTTATTGGGAATAGCAGCAGGTGATTATAATCCATATATAATATTTGATCCTTAAATGTACATAATTAAATAATAAATATTTTAAGAGAAGAATGGAGTCTATGATTCAATTGCAATAGGAAATGATAGAATAATATTAGCATATGTACATAATATCAAAATGTTTTAATGGATTAACAATTAATATATAGCAAATAAATTATAATTTGAAGAATCTTAAGGAACACCAAGTAAACTATATTATTGTTCTTAAACATAATCAATATTTGCAACAAATACATTCTTTTAAGTTATTTCTTAAAATTATGTATATTAATGGAAATTAGATTCTGGCAAATTAATAAAGTATAAAATTTAGGGTTCAACATTTGGTCCTATGTGTTTAATTAATTAAAAATTAATATTTTGTTTTAGTTTATGGGAAATGAAGAGTAGAAGTTAAAGATAAAATTTAATATATTTTTGGTAATATGAATAAAATACTCCAATAAAAAAAATAGATACATCTTAGCCATAATATGCTATGATAGTAAAAATGAATTAATTATTTGGATTTGGTTCTGAAATAACAATTTGGAATTTAGATAATTATCATTTAATTAAGAAAATAACATATCCTGATAAAAAGTTAAATCCATGGTGTGTATGTTCATTTGAATAGTCTTTAATATTAGGTTGTGAAGATGGAAGTATTATTGTTTTTAGATTGTAGATATAATAATTGTAAATGAATAGTTCAATAAATGGGATAAGATTATGAAAATGAGAGCAAAGACAATGAAGATGAATGTGTTAAAAGATAAATGTGTAATTGCAGCATTAGATTGTAGTTTTAGTATCCTTTAAATAAAAAAGTGATATAGTAAATATATATGTATATCAAATATCTAATTTACTTTTGAAGTTTAATAATATATTATTATCTTAAACATCTTATTTTAATATAATTATGTCTAATCTTAAAAGGAATTATAAATTAAATATTTACAATATTAAAGTACCTAAAAAGAAAGTTATATATTTTTAGTTAAAGAATGTTGTAATAATAGAATTGTTTGTCCTTTTAGAAGTGAATAATTTAATATACCTTTTTATTATGAATGAATTAATAATTTCTTTTTATTCTTATATAAATTGATCTGCCATATATTTTTAATATAAATTAAAGAAGAAGAAACAAAAGTATATTGATTTTGCTAGGTATGTAAATTATTTTAATTGCTTATATCAATTTGTTTCTTATAGAAATCCTGCATCTCTTTTAGGGAATGCATTACATGAATCAACATGAATTTCGCTAGAGTTTATTAAAACAAAATATTTTACAATCCTGTTCTGCAACTCCAAACATCATGTAGTTTTTCATCTTATAAACACCAATGTCTTTAACAACATTATGATTTATGTAATCCTGCACAAACATGTCCATCTGCTCTTCTACAATCTTTGTGGCAATCATTATTTTCAATAGATGATCTTACCCATTTTTTATCGTTACTAGTAATGGGAGGAGCCATTGTGGCAGAAACAATTGTCACAATCAATAGAACCAATAATAATCTCATTTCCGTTTTTATGTAATTTAATTATAATATATAAATATTAAAAACTTAGATGATTTTACAAAACATTATAGCATTCTATTATGAATTCTCTAAATAAAGTGAGTTAATAATCAATTTTACTATTTTGTCTATTTTTGCCATAATCATTTAAATTATTTTATTTAAACATACAGATTAATGAATCACTGTTTTCCCATTAAAGAAACTTGATAATAACTGTTCATAAATTTTTGTACAGATACTTTATTAATCATATCATACAATAATAATAATTTGATACATTAAATCTCAAAAGTAGCAGTAGAAACTCTGATCAAGAGAAAATACTTAAAATCTAAAGAAGCTTAATAAATTATAAAGCCATATTCTATATATTACTTCTATTTAATAAATAATTAAACATAAAATAACTATTATGAATATCAAAACTCCAGAAACAATCAAAGCTACTTAATCAAATTGTTCTAATTCCACAATTTTTTAATTTACAGTTGACAAAATAGATTTCAGCAATCCAAAACAACTGTTATTATTTAAGTCACAATTAGCTCATTAAATTATTAAAAAGTGAAGTATGATAGCCTTGTTTTATTTTAGATTCTTGCCATATCCATTTCCAATTTTGATCTGATGAAATTATGATTGTCAGATATCATATTATATTTAATACAATCAACTATATTCATCTTAATTTTGCTGTTGTTTTTAATTTTCTATTGAATATATAATTGTTGAATATATAACAACAATACACTATCAAATAAAATTAACAGATATTCTAAAGATTTGAATAGGTAATTTAAATATACCTCAAATATTTAGTTTAGAAGATAAATTTCTTATTTATTGAAAAGATTCTATGAATTATTAACAATTAATGTGTAAATATTAATTATTAGTATAACTATAAATAGGTTGTAGCTTAAATTGAAATGTTCAAATAAAATTCATATATTGATTGAAATAAATTTACGATTATTGTTACATAATTATTAATTTTATGTTCTTATTATATTAATATTTAATTATAAAGTTATTAAAACAATAATTTAATAAATACACTTATAATTAATATTTAATTCAAAAAATTCAATGAGTGCTTTGAAAGCAATCGTTACTTTAGACACAGGTGATAAACCTGAATATATTCATATTTATGAAGGAGATGATATTGAGATGCTTGCAGAATTCTTTTGTGACAGACACAATATTCAAGAGGATGGCAAATAATTTATAATTGATCACATAAAAGATTAACTAAAATTATAAGAAAAGTAAATTAAATAGAAATTTGTACCTTAAACAAATTCATTGAAATAATGTTAATCATAAGCTATTATTTATAAACCTGCATAAGTTAGTAAATAATTTAAGCAATTAATTTAGAAAAAAATGATTATGAAGAATTACATAATACAGTTTGGGCTTAGATTTAAAAGAAACCATCAACTACATAATTACATTAACGAAATACTAGCAATTTTATAACTTAAGGTTAAAAATCATAGGGAAATTTGTTATTAAAAAAAAATGAATTAAAGAATACCAAATGTATTACTGATATAGAATAAAATAAAGATTGTAAATAATAACCTAAGAGATCAAGATAAGAATAAATTGATTTTGCTAATAGATTGATATCCTAAAAAAATGTATCAGAAAAAAGATTATAGAAATTAAGAATAGAATCAAATTCACCTATTAGTCATGATTTTAGACCAAAAGTAACAAAAGATAATATCTATAAAAAAGTAAGCAAAAAAATTGATTAAGAAGATTATGAATTAGCATAAATGATAGGAATACCTTAAAGAAAAAAGATTTTTGAGTTTGCATAATAAAAGATAAAATATAAATAGGATCAAGATATTTTGAAGAGAATATTTAATCAACTTGATAATGATAAAGATGGTTAAATATCAACTAATTTTATAAATTTAGATATTGATCATTAAATTTTAGAAAAAATTAAACCAGTTTTATGTCATATGGAAGCTTAACATTTAATATTAGATTTTGATTCATTTTCTAATTTAATGAAATCTTTTTAAATTTTGATTTATTGAAACTATTATTTTTAATATAAAATAAAATTCTCTTTATTATATATTGAAGAAAATATCATAATATATTATTATTTTTTGAATTCATTAGATCAAAAATAATAGATAACTTAATATATTTATAATTTAATCAATATGTAATTGAAATTTCTATATTCCTGTATATAATATATTTAATAATCTAATCTAATATTCTTTTAATTCTATCTGATTCTTCAAAGAAAAAATTATTAATTAACTCAATATTGATAATATATTTAATAAATATGGGGAAAAAAAAATCAGAAAATAACAAATAATAAAAGAATAATGGATCTAATAGGAAAGATAAATCGAGGGGAAGACCTCCAAAATAACAAGTTAAAAATTTAAATTGATATTCTTAGATTCAACCTTCCAACTCGATTGATACATAACCTTTCGACATTAATTAAAAGTAATTTTGGTTTACAGTGGATGAAGCAAGAGAAATAGTTAGAATACTAGCAAGTAAATGCCAAATTTTATTTAAATGTCTCAGCGGATAATCTGCAAATAATCTTAAGACTTAATTTTGGTCTTCTAATCAACCATAAGTTTCTTTTAATATATTTAAACAAAAACGATAAGAATTTGCAGAAAAAGTTACTGTATATTATTTGATAATATCAAATTATTTAGGAGCTATAAACAGAATTATTAAAAAAACTTGAATAATATTTATAAATTAAATTGATTGGAGAAAAAGAGCAGATGAATTATTTTTTTTTTGGAAACAATACTACTCATGATACTACTTTAACAGAAGAAACATAAGATACAATAATATAATTATTAAATCCTATTATTCATGAAGATTTCTTAGGAACATTGAAAGAACTACTAGTATTAACAAGTTAACCAGAGATTTCGTATATAGACTTAAAATAAATAGATTTATATAATATAAATAAACATAAACATTTAGTAAGTTGGGCATTTGTTATTGCTTGGGGAAAAGAAGTAAGGGATCATTTAACAAGATTATAGTAGAAAATATTTAGTGAGGATGAAATCCCTTTATAAAAATAAGACACACCTGAAAATTTGATCGATTAATCAGCTAAAATTTAGGAAAATAAAGAAAAAGAAGTTCTTTTAGATATTGATCAATTAATTCAAAACTATCAAGAAAAATACGAAAACGAAATAAATGATTTAATAGATTTATTAAAATAAAGATTCACAAATAAAATGTGATAATTTTATTAGAATTAATTCCCATTATAATTTGAAATTTATAATGTTAAATTAGTGTTTAAAATTTTTATTATAACAAATCCTTTTTTCAAAAAGAGTCTATTTATTTTTTTTTGACTTCATCTAAGATTTCATTTACACAATAACTATTTCCTTTAAGTCATAATAACTATAAATTATTAGATAATTGATTAGAAGAAATAAAAAATCTTTCTATTACCTATCTTCTATATATTATTTAATTATTATGTTTTATAATTTAATAAATATATTTTTTTTTTTTTTTTCATAAGAAATTTAGCATTTAATCACTCTAGATGAATCTATTTAAACAATTCAGTTTGAATGAATTTGATATTCACTTACTAAATTAATCTAATTAATTAAAACCATAAATAGAAAGCCATAAAATAATTCATAAGATGGATAATATATATAATTAGTTAAGAAAAGAATGATAAATTTAAATTTTACAGTTTTATTTTAATTCAAATACTTTGATAAGAAATGATAATATATAAATTAAAATTTAAAATGATTAAGGTAATAAGATTGATTTAAGATGGAATCAAGTAAAATAAGAATTCTAAAAGAATTCAATTTTTTTCATATATCGAATTAAATTATTTTTACTATTTAATAATAAATGGGGGCTTGTAGTGGAATATGTGGATAAAGCAATGCAGATCATACAATAGTGAATGCTAATCATGTAAATCATTCAGATGTGGAATAATAAATTGATTAAGGTTTAAAAGGATCAGGACATTCAGTTAGATAGTCTCAACAATCTTCAGATGTGAATGTTCCTTAAGTTCATTATGAGAATGATTATTATGAATAACAAAAGAGATCAAATTAGAAGTTTGAAGAAATAAAAACTTAATTACAACATGATTCTTTTCTTGAAAAATGTGAACCTGTCACTCTAGAAACTGGAGCAATATATACTGGATAGTGGAAAGATGAATAAAGAAATGGATGGGGAAGGTAAGTTTGGCCAGATTAATCAGTATATGAAGGAGAATGGGTTAATGATAAAGCTTGTGGTAGAGGTAAATTGATACATGCAGATGGAGACATTTACGATGGTGAATGGGCTAATGATAAAGCTAATGGTTTTGGAAGATACTATCATAGCAATGGAGCAACATATTAAGGATAATGGAAAGATGACAAGTAAGAAGGTTTTGGTGAAGAAACTTGGCCAGATGGATCTAAATATAGAGGATAATATATTGATGGTAAAAAACATGGAAAAGGTAGATTAGAATTTATTGATGGTTCATATTATGATGGTGAATTTTAGGCTAATGATATTCATGGAAAAGGTATTTATTGATTATAATATATTTAGGATTATATATTTGGGCTGATAAGAGGCAATATAATGGGGATTGGTAGAGGAATAAAATGCATGGATATGGATTAACAAAATGGCCTGATGGTAGATCTTATGAAGGAGAGTAAGTTTTTTTATTTAAATATTATTAGATATAAAGAAGATAAAAAACATGGACATGGAACCTTTATATGGAGTGATGGTAGAAAGTATATTGGTTAATGGGTTGATGGTAAATAATAAGGATAAGGAGTATTCATTAAATCAGATGGAACAAGTAAAAGAGGAGAATGGGCAGATGGCAAGAGAATTAGATGGACTGATATACAAAAAGATAGTTATTGAAATTTTAAATTATCTATATGATTTATTATTAAACTACTCTTAAATTTTACTATTTTTTAATACTCTCAAATAAGAACCATAAATTCATAATTTTAATTCAGTTAGTATTAACTATAAATAATTAAAACAGTATTTTTTTAGTATTAGAAATAATTATTAATTAAAAGTATTGATCTTTTTAAATATTTATGTATAAGAAATCTAATAAAAAATGATGAGAATAATAAAGATTGAAAATTAAATTATAAAACTTAAATTAATAAATTTAACAGTTGAAATACTATTGTTCTTTTTAATGTATATATATATCAAATTTGTGAGAATATTTTATTAATTATCTTAATGAATATATGAAATTATGAGATATTTATTAATTTGTTAAAAAATGGAAAAAATAAGAAAAAAATTGAACTAATCTTTATTGAATCATTTATTTTATACTATAATTCTACCTTAAATCCATAAATGTTTCTTAATCATGTTATGAATATCAATTATAAAATACATTATGAAATTTCTTTAAAATTTGAGTTTAATAAATAACTCATTATAATAAATGTTATCAAATACATCAAGAGGGCAGTAATAAAATCAATTTTCAAAAACATAAACTCAAACTTTAATACCACTTTCTGAAATCAATCATATAAGAGGAAAACTAAAGGGTGGAAATTTGGCTACAGAAGAACGATAACTGGATAAAATGAGAATGTATAACTTGTTTTCATTTTTAGGAAGGCAAATTCTGAGGAAAGGATGAAACGTTGGCCAACGACTATTGCTGCTTATAAATAAAAGAGAGATCAGCATAGATTTGAAAAATTTGCAGCAGCAGAAGAAGAGAGAAGATAAATTGATATTGTAGAGGAGATTTATTAAAAGGAACAGAAGAAAATTACTTTAGAAAAAGCTAATAAATAAATTTATGAAGATGGTGATAGGGTAAAAGCATTTCATGGGAAGATGCTTTTTTCAGATGTATTATAAGAGAGAGATGAATAAATTGTAATGGAGAAATATAAGAAAGAACTTCTGAAATAATAAGAAGAGATCTATTAATAAATTTTAGAAGAATAATTAGATGAATATGATTAAAAGTAAATTGTAAAATAGAAATTGCAATAATAAAAGAAAAAAGAATAAAAGGATATGTTACATAAGTATTATAATATATATTTAGATAACATGAAGAAATGAAAGAGAAACATCTAACAAAATTAAAAGAAGAAAGAATTGAAGGAGAATTAATTAAATAAAAGGTTAAAGATGCTTTAGAAGAAGATTAAAAGATATAAAGATTAAAATAATAAAAGATATTAGAAAATTAAAGATTAGTATAATTGGCAAATGATTAATTGAAAGATTTTAAGGTTCAATAAAAAATAAAAGAGAAAGAAGAAGATGAAAAGATAAGATTACATGCAGAAAAGAAATAAAGAATAGCTGAAATGAGAAAAGTAAGGGAAGACTTAAAATTTCATGAAAAATAAGAATAAAGATAAAAATTGATTGATAGATAAATTTAATAGTTAGAGATATTAAAGAAAGCTTAGGAAGAACATTTGAATAAATAAATTATTGAAGCTTAAGTTAAAGCTGAAGAAGTAGAAAAAATAAAAAAGTAGAAGAGAGAATAAATGTTTAGAGCTATAGATTATAGTAGAAAGATTAAAGATGAAGTAAAAGAAACAGAATCTAAATGTATTTAAAATTATTTAGTATTAAGCTGTTGATTATCATAAAAAAGAATTTTAAACATATTGGGAAAAAAGAGGAAAAGAATTAGAAGGAATAGAAAGAGCAGAGACTACTGCATAAAGAGAGAGAAGAGTTCAAAATGCAAGATTCTAATAAAATTAGATTGATGAAAAACAAGTAATTATTATAATTTTAATCTATAATAGGCTTTAAGAGAAAAAGATTATATTGAATAATTAGATTAATAAGAAGAGAAATAAAGAAAAATAGAGAAAGAGGATGAAATTTTCATGATGTGGGCAAGTTAAAAGATTTAAGAGCATTAGAAAGAAGGAAAGAATATTTTGCCATTAATAAAAGAACTTAAGAATTTAAGCAAAGTCCCATGATTAAATATATTAAAAATTATGTTTCTATTAATTTTCTTTATAAAAACAAATTTATAATAATATAGGTTTTAATTATACATACAAATATAGTATATCAAAGTTTAATCTTTTTCTTATTATTAGTAGTATTTTATATTAATTCCTATTTCATTTTTTTTGATTTACTATCTTATTTATTTTCTATATCATATTAATCTTATTAATTCCTTTCTATAGGCACACAATTTTCTATTTTTTCTAGTGGAATTTATGGTTACTACTCGTCTTTATTATGACAATTCTCACATTTACATAAATCAGTGCATTTTTAATTAATACTGTAACATTCACAATATTTTTTTTTACATTCTGATTTTTTACAATTACAACCCTTTTTTATTTCCTTTTGTTATTCTTTTTAAGACTTCTATTCTATCAATATATAAATATTTTTATACCTTAGATGACTTATGGCAACTAACCATTATTAGTTAGAATTGGTGCATATGCTTCTGGGTTTCTAAGGAGAGCTTCTTCTATTGCTTTAGATCTTTCATTTGGATTGTCTATTCTATTTTTGCATTCAGTACAATTACAACTTTAAGAACATACCTAAAATATTGATTTAAAAAAAAACCCAATTATTTGTAAAGCATTCACAATAGAGTTTTAAGCATTTACTTTTTTTGCAGTTGCATTGAAAAGGAGAGACTTTTTAATATTAAACTAATTGATTAACTTTAGATTAGAGCTCTTTGGATAAAGTATTTTAGTATTAGGAAATATCATAAGGAGGATAGCAAAATGGTGGAAATGATGGTCTATACCATGGAGGAGGATATGGTTATGGAAATGTATGGATAAACTAGTTATTTTGAGGATATTTGATTTGCTATGGTATTTATTAATAATATGAAGGATAATGATAAAAATGTCTATTATTATCATCTTCTTATTATTCTAAACCATCTCCAGCTGATAGTTTTCTAAATGGATATTTTGGCTTATTTTTATCTATGAGTTCTTGTTCAGGTTAGAGATTGAATGCAGAAATGTTATATGGTGGTTAAAGATAAAACTACTATGGAGTGAATCTTGGTGATATAGTTTGTTAATGTTATGGCCAATCTTGATCATAATAGTGAAGTTTTTTATCAGGTTTTTGTTCATTGGAATTGTGATCATCTTAATTCATAATAAATTAATTAAAAATTAATAATGGCAGCAATCAACAAAGAATAGGTTGACATGGATAATCCAGCATTTGCCTAATAAGATCCACATCTTAAAATAAATGATGAAGAAGAAATGAGTTTACCACCTTAATTTAGAAATCGTTACCCAAGAAGACCACCACTTTTTGATGGTTTATTGAATAATGTTAGAGCTGTTACAAAAAAAGTAGAACATATCAAAGGATTTAAATTTGAAGTAGCAGGAGGATTATCAAATAATTTTCATTTAGCTCATTCTTGGATGATTCCTCCATCAGTATTTTGATCATATCTATAAATTTAGAATAAAGGCAAAGCACCTAATCCTAATCCTATGAAACAACCTCCAGTACCTAGCTACACTTTAGCTGCTCAATATTTAGGAGGAGAATTGAGAACTCCATTTGATTAACCTTCTTATATTATGACTGGAAGATGGGACTCTACAGGTAAATTAGAAGCTGCCATAATAAAGAAATTGAATGAAATGTTTAATTTTAGGTATATATATATAATTCAATCATTAAAATAGATTCAGTGCCTTTTATTTGGATTCTAGTCCTAATAATGCATAAGTTCATTTTGATTGTGATATTTCAGGAGATGATTATGTTCACTCTATTAAACTGGGTACAGGATTGTACAGTTTTAATATGATGTAAACAATTGGAAAGAGAGTAGTATTGGGATATGAAATGATGACATTAGTATAAAATTATAAATATATTAGACTGAAAGAAATATGTCATTAATGAGTTATGCCTTTAAATTTGGAATAAGTTAAAAGTAGAATTTCTATGCCTAATATGTAGGAGCTGCTGATTAATTAATTTTAGCTTATAACCATAGAGTATGATATTTTAATAAATTTAGCTCTTGGACAAAGCTTACTTTATGTCTGAACTTGAATATTCAAATTAATCAGGGGAATCTAGAACTATTCTTGTAATAGAATTTATTAAATCATTTTAAGGGTTACAGATAAAAGTTTGCCACATCTGAAGTCATAATCACTGTAAATTCAAAAATGAAGTTTAGTTCTGCATTAACTTTGTAAGGATTTGCTTATCAATTAAAATTATGTGCAATTGCAGATTACAATAAGGATTCATATAAGTTTGGTTATGGTATTGCAATGGGTTAAGTTTGATAACTAGTATATTAAAAAAATATATATTTTCAAGTTTTAGCTATACTGTTTATTTTTAATAAGTTGTTAAATTATTTTCATAGATTTAATAATTCTATCTTTTTAATACATTTTATAAAGAAGATAAATTTAATCAAATAATTTTATTTAATAAAAAATAATTCATTAATTTATTCAATTTAATACAGTTTAATTTATTATGTATTTTTTATTAAAATTTATTGCAATATATATATACCAAAATAATTAGATTGCTAATATTATTAATAAATTTAAATAATGGTAAGATTATCTTAATCAAACCATAGTTTTGTTGTGTTTACATTGTTTGCTTTACTAATCTCTTCCTGTAATGCAATCAATCATTTGAGAGGACACATTGAGGGTATTTTTATATTAAAAAAATTAGAGCATTAAAATAAGCATTTATATTCAAGTCATTCTAAAGGGAACCCCATCACAGCTGTAATTATTGGATTCTTATGTGTTTTTGGTGCATTTGCTATGTTATGGTACAATGAGAGAAGGTTTATATTTATCACATAACAATAATAGATAAGCTATTACTGAATATAGATTAGAACAAGCAAAGAAATAATGTACATCAGTCAATTCAGCTGAAGTAAATCCTAATACAAATCATTAATTGATTCATACAAATGGTATAACTTAAACTTTAACAATATTTTAGGTGAAAGTAAAACTCAAGATCTTGTAGTGGACGCTGCTTTTGGATTATCAATGAAAGATTGTATTAAACTTGTAAGAACAGTTGAAATGTATTAATGGGTACGAAAATCAAGAGAAGAAAATAAAAGAACTGTTTATTATTATGTTTAAGAATGGAGTTCAACTTTCCATTCAGATTGTGGAGATGGACATTATAATGACAAATCTAAATGGATTGTAGAATAAGAGACATAAGTTAATTTGAATGTTCGTATTGGTGCTTATTTAATTAGTAAGTCATTGGCAGAATAAACAAATGCTAATGAAAGTATTCCTATGGCTATGAATAATGCATAAGCTGTTTCTAATTTCTATGGATATTCAAAAGGATTTTAGAATTTGTATCAATTTTATTCTTATTTATAGTGAAGCAAATGGACAATATATATATTTCTAATAAAATAGAGGAACTGTTACTATGAATGATTTGAGAGTCTCCTTTGATGCTGCCAGAACTGGTCCTACAACAATTGTTTCTTAATAATATAATGATACTTTCACACCTTTTGTTATTCATGATAAATTTGAATAGACTTTAGCTAGAGATGAAAATTTGGAAGATATGCAATTATCATGTGCTACTTGCTGTTGTTTTTGCTGTAAACTTTGTCGTGCACTTGAAAAGCCTCTCACTTAAATAGATTGGATTTTTGAATCAATCATGACATAAAATCAAGTTTTTAAAAAAAAAGCTGAAGAAAATGCATGTATTACATTGGCATAAAGAATTGGTGGATATGTATTGATGGTAATTAATTGATATATTTTTTAGGGAATTGGATTTTGTTTGATATTCTCCCCAATCTCTTGGTTGGTTTCATTGATCCCATTCCTTGGAAACTTCTTAGCTTCTATTACAGGATTTGTTTTCTTTTTAGTAAGTTTTATAATATCAATTCCATTTTCAATTTTAACTATAGCTTTTGCTTGGTTATTTTATCATCCAAAATATGGAATTGCATTAATTGCACTTTCTGGTTTAATAGGAGCAGGAATCTACTTTTACATCAAAAGTTAGAGTTGAAATATCATCAAAAAATAATATTATAATCAAAAATTTTCTAAATAAATCTATATTTAATATATTAAAATGAATCATCTCATTTAAGGTTAATTAGATTTTAAGAATTTTTTATTTTAATCAATAGATAAAGCATAATGCAATTTACCTTATAAAATCTTAAAAATAATTTAAAAATATTATACTTTAGATCTCTACTTAATCAAATAATATATACTACTAAAATTAATTAAGTTGTCTATTAATTTAAAAATGAAGAAATTTGTATAATATTTATTTTTTCTCCAATAGATTAAATGGATTCAATATAATAATAAATAATAAAATAAAAAAGTTAAATATTATAGTTATTATCATTGTTGTATTTCTTAATTTTCATTTTTCTTGTAAACAATAAATTACTCTAAGTTTGCAATTTAAAGATCATAAAGATCTTCACTAATATTTGATGCATTTTTTATTAATTATAAATTTGCAAAGTCTGTTATGGATGTTGTTTCATTTTAATTTACACCTTAAGCAGTTAATTAACTTTCACAAATAGAATATGAAAAGTAATTATTTTTTTTATTTGATAATTTTGTTGGACTGCAAGTAAATTAAGATTACATAAGATTTGATTTATCCACTTTTGATGATAAAATATTTTAAGTGGATTTTAAAAGGATACTTCTAGATTTCTAATTATTCCTTTAATATTTGGAAGATAATCTGGGTATATTGTTTGAGATTGCTAAATTAATGAATGTTTCTGTTTCTGGTTCAATGACTCCATTATCAAACCAAGGATGTTTTAAAGCTGTATCAGGTTAAAGTCTTAAAGATGAATCCTTTTATAGCAATTAAGATACAAGATCTTTTGCTTCTTTTGATATCTATTTAAATAATTCATCTGGAAATGTAATTTAAGCTTCTATAATCTTTTCTATCAAATCATTTAAACTAAAAATTATATTATAAATTTACTATTCTGAAATAAATGGTAATTAACCAGATAACATTGAATATAAAATACATCCAGCACTCCACATATCAACCATCTAACTTTTTATTTAAATAAATATAAATATTACTTATAACCTTCTCCTGTGAATATTTCTGGTGCAGAGAATGCAACTGTTCCAGTATAAGTCCACATTTCAATTTTTTCTCTATCTTTTAAATCTCCAAATTCTTTATAAGCATCACTAAATTTACTCACATTAAAATCAGTTACTTTTATCTAATTTTTATCTTATATATAATTAATAATAATACTTTCAACACATAAAATATTATTTGGTTTCAAATCTCTATGACAAATTCCATTTCTATGCATATATTCAATAGCACTTAATAATTATTTGAATAGTTCCTTAGCAAGACTTTCAGAATAATGTCCTAATGTATTAATTACTTCAAACATTTCTTTTCCTTATACTAATTCCATTACAGCATATGCTTAACTTTCAGATTAAAATCCATTATTAAAATCAATATATAATCTATGAACTTTCACAATATTATCATGATTTAATTTTTATAGTGATTTAAATTCAATAATCATCTAAATATAATACTTAAATTACATTTCTAATAATTTCATCATCTTATGTTTATACTATTTTAACAGCATATTCCTCTTTTGTATGTTTATTTACAATCCTTTTTACTAAACCTAAACAACCTTCTCCAAGAATTTCCATCATCTCATATTCTTAATCAAATTTCTTAATATCAGCACAAATATATAAAGAATCTAAATCACTAAATTCAACATCTAGTTTTTTGCCTAATTCCTTAAGTTCTTCCTATAAATTCTTTTCATAATATGAAGGTTTTTTGATTATTAATTACAGTCTTCCTATGTTTAAATGAAATAATATACCTTTTAGTTATTATTTAATCCTATTTCTATTATTCTCGGCTTAATTTTATTTATCTTCTAATTCACATTTAATAAATTAAAATCTACTACAACCTTTTTTCTCAGTATTAGATAACTATGATGAAAGAAGATTTTATTCTAAAAGAGTGGATTCACAAAGTGAGATTGTTGGTAATTTTTCAATCATTATCTAGTAAAATTATTTAATTAATATAAATGACGAATTTATTTCATAAATATTATTAATATCAATGGAAAAAAGATAAGAATTAAGTTTATAATTTATAATAGAATTAGTAGTTCAAGGATAAAATACTATCTTATAAATTAAATAAATATTTAATGAACAATATTTAAATTCTATATTTTAAACATTTTTATTTTATAATTAAATTACATGTAGTCCACTAGATCGAATTCTGCATAATATAGAACCTGCAACTCATAATATGGATAAGGTTGGTTATTACATTAAGGATAATAGTAAATCAAACTGAATGAAGCTCCAGTTCCTACTTATGCTGAAATCGTTAGAAGCATGCAAGTAATTAATCTAATTATGATTATAGGATTTCAAAAGAGCTGAAAAATTGATAAAAAATAAATTAGTTGCATAACAAATTAGTTTGGAATCTGAAAAGAAAGAAACTGAAGAATAGAAACAAAGAAGAAAAATCGATAATAAAGTACCTCCAAAACCTTTTCCTGTATAAGAAGATTAATATAAAAAACCACCTTTGGGAATCAATGTTGGTATTATGCAGATCGAATTATTTATGTAGGTTTACCTATATATGAAACTTCTAATATGTAATATGGGTAATTGAATCCTACTAAATTTGAATTAATTGAAAAGTATTATCCTAGAGATGCCAAATTTACTTAAGGATTTTTAGGGAGCACTTATAAATTTGATGGTTTAAATACAAGTGTTGCTTTTTCAAAAACTCATAAAGCCTTAGATGAATACTGATTACAATTATAAAATATAAGTTACAATATAATCATATAAATAATGGTTAATTCACTTATAAAGGCAAATCAAAGTAGTCCTAAATTTTATTAGATTTAGTCAAGTATTCATAGAGCTATTTAAATTCTTCTTATATCTCTAAAAATCTATGAGCTTTTTGAGAAATTATTTAATAATTAATAGGTGAATAAATTGTGAGAGGATTATAAGGAGGACATTCTTCTAAGGTTATAAATGGATTTTATTAACTAATTTAAATTTATTAAATACCCATAATTGTCAATATAAATGCCCTCTTTTAATGGATCGAATTAAGTACCATACTTCTTTAAAAAGTCAAGAAGAATTTATTTTTTATCATTTTGAGTATAATGTTTACACAAATAGATTGCAGCTAACATTATTGATAAACAAAAAGAACTTATCCCACCTATTAAAAATAAATATTACATTAAATACCTGTGTGAGCATCATTTAAATTTTTTGATTTAATTAAATGTTTAAGAATTAACATAATATCTCTATACCAAACAAATCTACCAACCCAATCTTTAACAATTGTTGTCGAAGCAAATCCCAAATGAGGATTATTATATATATTACTCCATTAATAAATCCAAGTTATATCTACCTAAATGATTTTTCCTAATAATTTTATAATTTTTTAATTTTACCTTGATCATTTTGATCTAAATGAAAATATGACCAATTCTATTGAATTTGGTAATCCTCATCATAAAAATTAGATTTCGGATTCAATTCTAATTTCAATATTGGCATGTGACCTTGAATCAATCTAAAAAAATATTTAATTAAATTTATTACTTTGATTTAATTAAAAAAGGTGTTTACTTTAATGTATTATTTAAAAGTTATAAGAAACTTACTATTTAACTATAGTTTAAGTTCTATGAACCCCAAATACCTACATCTACATCACTTATTTCTAAATCTAATCCAGTTTCAAAGGAACCATAAGGATATATATTTAGATTGTAGTTAGTATAAATAAGATAATTAAGTCTATTCAAACAAACTTATTTTCTGACTCTATTTTGATAACTTTTTTATTGAATAATATTCAATAATTCATCAATATCATAAGTTTTAGATTTAACTAAATTTAATTATTTTTTTTTTATTGGTGTTGTTTATGTAGAATGAGGATATTATTTATCACCAACTTTTTCTCCATTATTATTATAGTGTTTTTTCTTTTGTTTATCTCTGCTTGATAATTTTTAAGCACATAATTTATTTTCGTCTTACTATTATAGACAATCATCAGATTCTGATTATGAATTTCCAGCAGTTGTGCTTCTTGCTCCAATCTAACATATTATTACATAGATTACATGACTAAATTAAGCATCAATGTCAGTAGGATCTTTTTTATTTTCCTATTCATTATTTTCTATTTAAGTTAGACTAACTTAATTCCTTGATTTCTACTATGATATTTATTATTTTATTTTATAAGACTCTTGAGGAGAAAGTTAATTATATTGTTTTTCTTTTGATTGCTATTGAATTTCAGGTTATTGTGGTTATTATTTTTCTGTGAGTGTTTAATTTTTTAGTATTCTTAACTAGGAATCTATTTTATTCTTTCTGTTCTTTGCTTTTTTGTGGCATTTTTATTTTTAAGTTGGAAATTGTTAAGCTGTTGGAGGTAATTAAAACAAGTCAATATCCTCTTAATCACAAATTTATAAAACATTACTATGTTCAGAATTTTATTCTTTCTAAGTCTGTTATTAACAATTAAATTAAAGTTCTTCATTAACAACACTCAAAGATAAACATATTATGTTTTTTATATAAGTATTAACATCAAATTCTTCACTCTTTTTTTTTGATATTGTTTTACTCTAATAATTTATACTAAATTGATACATTCCCTTAATTAGTTCCTTCAGAATCTTTTCTGAATTCAGGTTAAGATTTATCTTTTTAATTATCTATTTAAGTGTTTTTAGAGCGAAATTATTTTGTTCCTTTTATCGTCTCATTCTACTTACATTCATTGATTTGGTTAGATGTAGTTAAAATTTGCATTACAATAAATGATTTTTTTATTTATTATATTCGCAATTAGTTTAATAATTATTTTTAATGCATTCAATGAATCTTTTCTGCTTAAGGTTTTTCATTATAAAATAATTGAAATGAATTAAATTTATAGTTGTAATATCTCATCTATACATTAAATATAGATGAAATGATTTATGAATTTTAATTTATTTATTATGTAATAATATCATATATTTATTAATGATTTATTTATTTTTAGTAAACTTAATGATCAAAACTCCTTATTTTGAATTCATAAAATTAATAAATGAGCATTTATGATAATATCATTTAGAAGGTTTAAATTATTTTAACATACTTATTAAATACATTTGAGATATAACAAACAATAGTGAATTATGTATAAAAATTATTCCAAAACTATACGAAGAATTTGTAAAATAGTTAAGGTTCTAATTTTATATACCTTTTCTTAATGAATTTTTATTACTAAAAATAGATAAAGATTATAATTTAAATATGCTTTAATTATAGAATCAAACCTATTCTATCTAGCTTTTTAATTAAATTTATTTACTATTTACAAATGCTATGTGATTTTTCGAGGCAAAATTATTGCAGTTTATTTTTTATTATATCTAATAATATATGAATTATTGCAAATTGACATTAAGAACGTTTGAATAGATTGATTTTAAATAAAAATTTATATTAATTTTAATTGGATTACATAATTGTCATAAATTTCATTTATTATAATAATAAAATAAATAAATTATCAAAAAATGTTCAGATTATTTGATTCAAGTTATCAATAAATGAATCAAATCATTGAAGAAGGTGGGAATGTACTATGGCTTGGTGATTTTACTGCAGCATTAGATAGACCTTTGCTTGATTCGAAAGGCATTTAGACAGTGTTAACTGTTGCAACTGGCTTAAATGTAGCCTACAGAGAACCAGGTATAACTCATAAAGTACTAATTCTAAATAATGAAAGGTATATCATATCCTAGATTCAGAAACTGCAAATATAGGAAGATTGTTTTAAGACACAAACACTTAAATAATTGAAGGTTTAAAAAGAGGATCAGTTTTAGTACATTGTGCTGCAGGAGTATCAAGGTCTGCTTCAGTAGTGATAGCATATTTAATGAAAACAAAAGGATTTGGTTTTTAAGAAGCATTTAACTATGTAAAAAAGAAGAGAAGTGTCATTTAACCTAATTATGGATTTATTAAATAATTAAGAAATTATGAAAAGGAAGTAAAGATAGTAAAAAAAGAAGCTCTTTAACTAAAAATAAGCGAAAATCCAAAAGATGCAAAAGGTTGTTAATTGATAAAGACTTAAGAGAAAAAGAAATCTGATTTAAACATCATAGGTCAATAAGCTGTTCATTAACGATAACCAAGTTAATTAACTTAACCAAAAATCACTACTTCAAATTCTACAAGAGCTAATTCGACAATAAATTCGAAAAAATACTTTGAACCATAAAAGACTTACCAAGGACCTTAGATTGTAACCTATGCAAAAAATAATAAATTAGTTATCAAAAATCATTTTGCAATGCCTGAGATAAAATAAAAAAAAAACAAGTGAAAATCATACTTATTTATTTCATTTAATCAAATTTTATAAAATTAAGTCATTTCTTCATTATTATCAAAAGGATCATTTAATGTTGATAATCTTTTCACATAACCAAAGGTTGTGTTTCCAAATAAAAAAGATTTTGCTGTTTGATGTTAAGGAGTAGAGTAAAAAGTACTTAAGGATGATAATTTTGAACATTATTTTTTAATTAATCTATCTTTGGCTTTTTAAAGTTTTAATTGTTAGCTATATTTTTCTAAATCTTCCAATAATTTTGAATCAATTATTTTCCATGTAGGTGATTTAAACTATTTTTCAATAAAGAAATTTTTATTTAACTCATAAAATATTTTGATTTAAGATGTTAATCTAATAAATTCAGGAACAAGGCCATTTAATTAAAAGAAAAGTGATATTTAGACTATTTAATACTCTACAAGAAATTAAAATATGATTCTAAAAATTATTCAAATTATTACCTTTCTATAAATAAATATGTTGCTATCACATCATTCCAAATTAATAGTAAAATCTCACCAACTATTAATTCTTAGACAGTCTCATATATATATTTAATAAACTAAAAACATATTTGATAATGATACTTAAGAATAACTAAATATATGGTTTAATAAATTAATCGCCTTGTAATAATAGATGCAATCATTGGTTAATTCTTTAAATAGATCATATTAATACTTGAAGAATTTATTTACTATAATTTTGCAATCCTAAGTAAATCAAATCCATTAGCAAATCTTTGTAACATTTCATAATACATTTAGACAAATTTCTCTTTATCTTAATTTTTCTCTCTAAATCCTATTTTGCTTATATAAGTTTACTTAATCTGAAATCCATTCCAAATTAGAAAGGATTCAGAAAATTGCTAACCATGTATGCCATCTTCTAATAGGACATGGCAAGTTGCCAAAACTTTTAATTTTACACAAAAAGAAGCCTTTTCCGGTAAGGCCTAAAAAAATGTTTAAAAAGTCTTCTTTATTGGTTAAGGTGTTCGACACATTAATTGAGGTTGTTAAGGGAACCCTTACATCAGTTATTTCAAGTCTACAATACTCAATGATGGTTTATTATTCAAAATTGAAGTATTTGATAAGGCTCTCTCAAATTCAGTTTATTATTTAAAAAACATGTTGAACATTGTAAATATTTATGTAATTTTTTTCTATTATTCTTTTCTTTTTATAAAATATGGTAGTTTTAGAAATATCTAATAGAAACTATATATGATTTATATATTAGAGTTACTTATCATAATTATGATGCTTCTCTTTTTGATTTACAATTTATCAAGTTGTAATTGTAATTATATTCTTAAAATTAACTCAATATTCAATATAATAATTCAAATTATATGGATAGAAAGAAGTTATTATTTGAAAGCAATTTGAAAAATAATTCCTAAGATTTAATTGTGGGGGGAAGAGAAACCAAAGCAACAATAAATGAAATACGTTCTAGGGATGATTCGATAAGAAGAGGAAGTTCAAAGTATTTGATTTATATATCATTAGATAGCCATATCATATTAATAATAAATCATATGATATTTCAACCAAAACAAGTGGAAGCTTTATAATTACAAAGGACAATGAAGTATCTTATTTAAAAAAGAAAATTGATGAATTGCAATTTAGATTAGATTCTTAAGAGGCAAAATTAAAAGCAAGAGATAAGGAGATCGCCTATTAATAATCTCAAATCAAATAATTTGTTCTAGAGATGAATGAAGTTTAGATTATTGAAGATAATTATAAAGAAGAAATATCAGTTTTAAATAAAGAATTATCATAATGGAAAGAAAAATACTTTGCAAATCTCAAGGAATATCAATTTCGTTAAGCCCAATTATCTCGACAGTCTCAATAAGAGTAAGCTATGATGAGAAAGAAATACGAAGAAATGATTGAATAATAATAAAGAGAAATAGAATCAATTGAAATTAGATTTGAAAATGAGAGAGATAACCTATATAAAGCACTTGATTTACAAAATACTACCATGAAGAAAAACGATGAAATGAAAGTATACAGAGAATATATTTTAAGGAATTGATGATAAAATTAGAAGAAAGAGATGCTGAAACTCATTAATTATAAGAAAGAATCCAAGTATTGGAGAAAAATAAAGAAGAATTAAAATTACATTATTAATAATAGACTTCTAAATTGAATGAATAAATAAAAAAATGTAATTATGTATGAATTATATTAAATAAATTAGATTGAACAAGAAGTTAAAAGTTTACAATAACAATTATAAGGAAAAGATAAATAAATAAATACATTATAAAGTTAAATTGGAGAATAAAAAAAAAAGACAAATTAACAAGATTAGGAAAAATTACAGCACTTAGAAAATCTTAATAATTAACTTGTATAATAGATAAGTTTATTAGAAGATTAAGTTGCAAAATTCAATTAATAACCAAAAGATGTTTAGAAGATACAATCATTAGATAAAGAAAATGAAAATCTATAAATGATTATCTATGAACAAAAAATATAGAATCATGATTTAAAACAATAAATAAAACTATTTTAAGAAGAAATTAATTAGTAAAAAGAGTAAAATTAAAATATTACAAAAACAACCTAACTTGAATAAGAAATCAAAGATTATAAAAGGTTATTAAGTGAATTAAAAGAATAAAATGGAAAACTTTTAAATTAGTAAGTGAATTTTGAAGAAATTAATGAAGAACTCATAATCTTGAAGAAGAATAATCAAGAATTAAAATAATAGCATGCTGAAGAATTCAAAATTATAGAAACAAAATGTTAGAAAATTAAATAGCTAGAGTAAGAAGTAAATTAATTGAGATAAGAGAATTTGATATTTTCAAGTTAGAAATCACAGTGCGAAGAATTGGAATAAAAAATATAAGAACTTAATAAATAATTAGAAAAATTACATTTGACTAATAAAGAAAAAGATGCTTAAATTTTATAAAAGCAAGACTTACTACAGTAGTAAAATCTAAATTCAAAAGATTTTGAAAAATTAATTACTTAATAAAAAGCCGAAAACATGGAATATTTAATTTAAAATAAGCAATTAACAAATCAAGTAGTTTTATTATAAAAAGAAAATGAAGAATTTTAGTAGGAACTTTTAAAATATCAAACAGAAATTGATGAATTAACTAGGATACATGAAGAGAATTTAATAAAAATAAATTCTTTAGAAAACGAGAAATAATAATTAAAAAATACTTTTGATCATCATTAAAAAGAAATTTAAAAAAAAGATGCTGAAAAGTTATCAAACTTTGCATAATTAGAAAATGAAAATGCAAAACTTTATTAATAGAGAAACAAATTATAAGATAAGATAGGAGAATTAGAAGAAACAGCTAATTAAAAATTGAAAGAAATAAATTAAATGATAGAACAAAATTAAGAGCTTTTTAATCAACTTTAAACTTAATAATAAGAATTAGAAACCTTAAATTGGCAGCTTTAGAATGTAAATTCCTAATCTTAGTACTATTAAAATAATTTAATTGAAAAAGAGGAGCTTCTTATTTAATTATAATCCAAGAATAATAAATTAATTGATCAAAATGAAGAATTGTAAATCATTATTAAGCAGCTAAATAATACGTATGAATCTCAAATTATAAAATAAAATGAGAGAATCTAAGAGTTAGAATAGAATTTAGAAGCTTTAAATGAAAGAAATGATCAAGAGGCTTTAATAAATAAAAATTTATTATTGTAACTAAAAAATTAAGAATTAGAAAATTAAATTCATTCTATAATTGATGATTATGCTAAAAATTAAGAAAAATTGGAAAAATAACTCTTAAATTAAGAACATAATAAATAAGAGTTAAAATTAAAGTTAGTTGAATGGTAAGCTCAAAATGATGAACTTTAAATAAGACTTGAGTTATAGGATAAAGATATAGAGAGATTATAATAAATAAAATTTGAGTTGTAAGATGAATTAAACAAGTAAATAGAAGCTGTATCTAGTATTAAATAATCAACAACTATATAATTAAATGAATATTAAAGACATATTGAAAAAATAAATCTATTAATTGTTGAAAAAGATGAATAAATATATTTTCTATAATAATAAGCAATTGAAAAGGGTTTGATAAAACAGGAAACTGAGTAACTTAAATTAGAAGTAAGTAAATAGATTGAACTAATAAATTAATTGGAATAACAAAATTAAAATTACGAAGCATAATTATAATAAAAAATTTTAGATATTGAATAACTTAATTTATAATAATAATTAATTGAATTAAATTTAAAAAAAGAAATTGAAGATATAAAAAATAAAGAATTTGAAGCCATTAAATAATAGGAAAAAAACAAGATTGAACTATTAAAATATTTGTAAGTTAAAAATAATTAAAATGATTAATAATGTAGTTTCTAAGATGAAAATACAGAAAATAATGTTTTAAAGATAGATTCATAAAGAGTAGATCAAATAAAAGAAGATTAATTGAGCTTGGATAAATTAGAATATAACTTGTAAAAATAAGAAAATGATGAGGAAGAAGAATAAAAATATAATAAGGATATGGCAGCAATACAATCTTAAATAGAAAAAGATGAAGAAAAGTTTGAACTGAGAAATGAATAAAAAGATGAAGATAATAATTAGGAATTAGATGAATAAATACAAGATACAAAAGTCAATAATTTAGTAGAATTAAAGGAACCTGAAGTTAAAGTTGTTTAGATCGTTGAACAACCTTAAATAGAATTAGATAATAGATAGAAAGATGAAGAAAACTTTGAACTTAGAAATGAATAAAAAGATGAAGATAATAATTAGGAATTAGATGAATAAATACAAGATACAAAAGTCAATAATTTAGTAGAATTAAAGGAACCTGAAGTTAAAGTTGTTTAGATCGTTGAACAACCTTAAATAGAATTAGATAATAGATAGAAAGATGAAGAAAACTTTGAACTTAGAAATGAATAAAAAGATGAAGATAATAATTAGGAATT